CTTGTATCGAGCTGTTTTACCAGTAATCGGGTCCTTCTTGCGCTTGTAGACGTGACGAGAGGTTAAAGGCTTGCGATTTAGAGGTATTGCTGACCTCTAGAGCGCCGAAAAGGTCTTGTTACGCAGCAGCGCGCGTATCTCGAGATGAGTACCTTCTAACCATTGTGGTGCTTCAACTGACGCCATCGCCTCCCAATAGTTGGAAGGTTCATCTGCTTCAGAAAGCGCTTGATCAGGGTCAGCAGAGGGCCAATTAACATAAGAAGCCTGAATTATAACATGTGGAGAGATCCCGGGAGTTGTGATCTCAGAAACGTAATGGTTCTGCAACCTGCGGGTACGCCCTCCGGATAACACGTTGCCAGGATCCATCCCAGCTTGTGATCGCGGTACTGGAGTCGGCCTATGAGATAGAACTTGCTGAGGCAATTCCGATGATCTAGTCAGTGTATTAATTGGGCCAATATCGGGCTCAGAATCGCTGAGTGTTGATTGAGGGTCGCCGCCGCCATTATCGGATACGATCAGTGAGATGACCGGAGTGCCCAAAGTGATGACGGGTTCAGAGATATTTATCTAGCCCCAATCTTTACCATCTGACTCATCCGATATATGCTGAAGATCGGCAGCGCCTTTTGAAGAAAATGGCTTCTTCAGATTGTCTTCTTTGTGGATGGTTCGCTCATAATCGTTAAGTGTACCTTGGAAGTCTGGGAAGATGTGGATTGATTCCCCAGAAGCGATGTACCCATCTAGAATTTCAAGATGTGCACTCGTGATGACCGTCTGCGACTCAGGCAAATAAACCTGATACTGATTAGAGCCAATTGAGCGAAGAATTCGCCCTTTTCTCGCATGAGGAGCCGTCTTGTTGCCCTGAACGCGGCACTGATGTGGCAGATGGACCACGGCAGCCTGCCCGATTGGGAAGAGATTGCTCAGATCAGGCTTGTTATCCTTGCCAGGAGTCAGATCGTCAAAGAAGACCTCATCTGGGGTCCTGTTATCCTTCTGGAGGAAGGAGGTGTAGCTCACGTTGAGCCGATCACATACTGCAGGGCCAATAATCGGCCAGAGAGACTCTGGCAGCTTCATCTGTTCGATAACACTCCGAACAAACGAATGAATCACGCCGAGAGAGCGCTCTGCCACCCCATTTTGCTCAGGAGTATATGGAGCGCTCAGTTCGAACTCGATGCCTTTAGATCGGCCCCATTTAATAAATTTGGCGTACTCTGTGCCGTTATCCAAGCGAAAACAGCGAGGGTAGCGACCGTACTGGAGCTTCATCCGCTTGCAATAACAGATGCAGATGTCTGAGGTCTCGCCCTTTTGCGTGTGAGGATGATATTCACGTTTTTGTGACTTGCCATCGACTAGCATCGTAGCTCGTTTAGAACCATCGTATCCTTCAGCCGAATGGTGCGCGGTATCAGTGTGAACCACGTCAAGGGCCTGATCAGGGTGTTCTCGCTCGACTCGGGAGACCATTCAACGGAGATTCGTCTCCAGACAGTCTAAGCAGGTGAATTCCTTTGTCAATTCGAGCGTATTTGGCGGTAGATCGATGCCTTTGACAATTTTGGCCGTTTTGACGATATCGCCAATCGATCGGTGGCCCAGCTTTGTATGCCAGAGGTGAAGGAGCTTCATAGCCTCCCTTTTGGCCCTCAATTGGGCACCAGGATCACTTTCTTCCTCTCCTTCAGCTGAGAACAGGTTGACAAATGCCTGTGGAGCGCGTATGATGTTGTAAGACTCTTTCTGTAGCGGTGGAGTGATTATCTTCACATACATACCGCTATGAAGGGATGCCACCCAGGTGCCAGCAGAATCAAATAGATCCCGAATCATCAGATACCAACCCTGACGATATAACTGATCGCCAGAGAGGAGGTTGATCTGAAAGGAGGGCACGTAGAGCACGTCTGTGATCAATCGAGTAACTGTTCTGCCTTCAGAAGTGACAAAATTGATCTCCACGTCGCCAACACCAAGAGGTTGAACGGGGCCACCACCTGTAGCAATTGGAAGAAGGTCAGGGTCTCTTCGGAGACGAATGAACCACTTCTTATGGTTGCAAATAGGAACCGTGGATCCAGAATCGAATAGCCATCGATCAGAGGCAGCAGAGATAGCGTGAGCGTGAGCTTCAGTTTGAATTTCAGGTTGGAAGGGGACACTGAGGTCAATATCCACCTGATTAGCGCCGCAAGGAACGTTAAAATATGCTTCCTGTACCGTGACGTTGCTCGTAGTTCTCGCAAGAGCGATACCATGGTCTCCTGCAGCCGCAGAAGTCTCACGGCACCAGTGAGTAGCGGGAGTAGTACCGCCAGCACCAGATGATCCCCTAGAAGAGCCGTTTGCAGCTCCTTTTGAAGCAGCTTGCAACACCTGCTTCAAGATGCGTTGGTTGCAGCCATCGTGCCTTTTCTTCTTGTTGAGCTCTCTACACTCAAAGCACCACACAACTGTAGTGTTTGAAGCGCCAGGATCCTTCTGATCAGGTCTCCGAGCGCCTCCGGAGCCTCCTTTGCCCCTGTTCTTCTTTCGCTGCTTGTTGCCTTTGTTGGCGCCCGCAGGACTGGCAGGAGTGGCAGGAGCAGCAGGAGGGGCAGGAGATCGGCCCATATGGGTTGCAAAGGTCTCATCCTGCGACTTGCGGATGTATATCTCCTCCTGAAGCTGATAGATGAGGTTTTCTGTCGTTGAGTAGATCCCACGGTTATAATCCTGTGAGATTTTGCGGTGGAGGGTCGGAAAAGAAGTCCTGATTGCCGCTCGGAAGTTGCAAATCCGACTCATCGCAGAGTAATCGATCTTCTGGCGCTCTACACGATCCATCAGAAGGCAGTAGCGCGACACGAAGTCATCTCCATGATCGGAGTATCGAATCGCAGATAGATCGTCTAGGACCGACGATACCTGGTTGATTATCATACCAGAAAAGGCATGACGTAGGGCGATCCAGACCTTCCCAGGGTCACGCAGGCCGGCAATGCGGTAACCCGCTTCCGGCTTGATATTTTACGTAATTGAGAGATATACGATCGCCTTTTGTGAGCTTGAAAATGTCTCACTGGTAGGCTTCTTCTTGTCAGTCTCATCTTTGACCTTGGAAGAAGTCTTGCTTGAATGATCATCTACGTCGACAGCAGAGGTCTTGAGCGAATAGGGGACCTCATCATCCTTCTCGATGGCCTCTTGGATGAGAGGCCAGAGGTTAACTGCGGTCAGCAGTTGCTCCATGTTTTGAGCCCAATTCTCCCAATTTTCCTGACCAACAAGCTTCTGAGAGTCCAGAAGCTTGATGATTACCTTGGAGGAGTGCTCGTTCGAGTCAGACATGATGGTGATGAGGGGATACGGTACGTGATAGGTGGCTTCCGACATCAGGGAGCCTCTGTTATAAAGAACAGATTCGTATTCAGAGAACGGTAGGGGACTGCGACAATGAGGGTAGCTAATCCTCATGAAGCAGTGAAGAGAGAGATGATCAGCAGCAGAAGATCTGCAAAGGTCGTGATCGAAAGCGAGATGCTACCATGTGAGAATTCAAACCGTTCTATATTAGAAGAGGGAAGAGAAGAAGATCTCTGGGGGAGAAGTCCCCATATATATGTACAGGTATGCCATCAGAGTGACCAGATAGTCGTACAATAATGGCGCTAAAGTGACCAGATAATCATCTGATAGTGGCGCCAGGTGAATGCCATGAAGCCACCTATAAGCGCATTCATCACCGAAAGCCTCAGCCTGGTACGATATCCAACAGAATTCTATAGCAAATTTGCATTTAAGGGCGGGGCACGGAGGCTGCTAAATGCCGATGCCGATGGCCAGCAATTAAATAATCTATATTAAGCTAAACACCAAGGAAAGGGCTATCTAACTATCGTTTAGATACCCTCAAAAGGGGCTGTAATCCGTGTAAGTGAGTAAGGGGACTTTTGGTGGTGGTTGTGGGGTTTGGCTGTGCCGGTTGGGGGGGTGTGCCGGTTCGGGGGGTCGGATGGTAGACCGAATAAACCATCCCGTCAGGTATCATTTCGCGTCTGAAGAAAAGCCCTAGTGGTTCTCGTGTGGTCAGTGGCGTCCTGATCAGAAGGCGTCAGGTCAGCACAAACAGCCAAGAAGCTCTCAAGTGTAGGCCCAAGCGTAGACTCGTCTTGATGCCCTCATATCTGCCGGTGACTGGGAAAGGTTGACTCATGTCAAGGAAAAAATAGAATAAGCGGTACCAGTGAGTCTATAGGTACCACCGAAGCCTCCAACCATGGTTGCAATATGTTGTGGCCTTGGGTATTGACTGGTGTATTGGCATGAGGCGTTGGCGAGAGGGTATCGACGTTCTGAGTGGGTTGGTATGAAGCTCCGGTCGACGACATATTGTCAAGCCTAGAAATAAGGCCACGAAATCCGTTTGGGATGACTGTTTCTGGTCCATCTGTTGCATATGCCCGAGCGATTCCAACTGAGGTGGCCAGAGCTTAGCAACGGCCCCCTATATACCTCAACTCTCAAAATCTGCGCTATCTTATCCTGATAAGCCCCCCTATCTATCTGCTGCTTGTGCCCCACTTCGCATTGAACCACCATCTCACCCCCGTAACGAGATACACCTCAATCCTCGCAACCTTCCATCGTATGTGGTCACTCTGACTTCTGCAACATGTCTCTCATTTCCCTGAACAATCTTTCTTCCATAACTCTTGAGCACTTTGCTGCTATTCTGGTTTCGCTCAGTACACCACAACCCTCTGCTCGACATCTCACTTCCACCACTACTGGCTCGCTCTGCTCTGCGTCCTTCTTCAACTACCACCTGGGCGCCTTGCTCGTCAGCTTCGTCCCATCGTTGCCTGACCGCTGCACTGTCCGCCTGTCCCCCACCGCACCTGAGCTCCTTGCTTTACATCTGCCTCACACCCAGCAACCTTCACCTTCAATTTAGTTCGATTTATCCACCTCAACCGACCTCTGTCTGACCGACCAACATGGATCACGGACTGTCTATGGTCGGAGAAAAGGGATCTCTGATCCCTCTCCCAACACCTCCTCCCCGCCAACCGCTCCCCTCATACGTAGTAGCAGGCCTCGAACGCAGGCGGCAGAAAGCCGAAGAGGCTGAGGCCGCCAGAAAGGCCGAGGAAGCGAAGGTTGAGGCCGCCAAGAAGGCACAGGAAGCACTCTCCACTGCAAACCAGGCATCTAAGCTTCCCGCCACTTCAGGTACGTACACTACTAAAGTCCATTTCCAACTTATAATCCATGTACTCATGCTATATTCACTAGGTCTGAACCCTCTGGCAAGTTCCTTCGAGCCAGGTACTTCCGGTGCTGGAGGTCCCCTACTCGAGCTGTGCGGCAAACGCCGTTGGTACTACGATGCTCCGGTGCAGCTGTCGGCTCGCGGAAGTCCGGATGATGCCACTTATGAAGTATTCGGTCTCCATGGTGGGTTGCACTATTGTAACCTCCTCCTTCTTTCTGTTGGCATTATTCTAACATGTCATCCGCCAGGTCAAGAAGCTTCAGAGAGCGTGTCCGTCACCAAGCATGGCGCTCCGGGGTTCCTCCCCAGCTCTTCCAAAGGCCGAAAGGTCCAGGCCTCGCAAGAAACCGACGATGATAGCGACGATACCATTACTCAGGCTAACTTTGCGAGCATTCGACGTACGTTACCTCGTCATACACTCACTCACACCCACTTGCGGTCAGCTCACTGACCAACATCCAGCATCGAAGCAACGAGCGATCAATCCCGTGTCCGCCTATCTCTCTAGCTCGAACCCTGTAGCATCCGGAAGTGGTACTGGAAGTCTTCTTTGGAATGCACCAAATTCTACAGGAGCGCGAGCGCGACAAGACCAGCGTAAGATCCGACGGCTCGCAAAGCTTGACCGACTGAGTAGGTTAAGATGCCCGGATCCAGCATCAACGCTTCTTCAGATTTCTAACTTGGTATCAACCAGGGAAAACCCTCGCGTCCACTGAGCACGGTCACGACGTTGTTAAAAGTCATGCCGCCAAAGCCGGCGCGTCGTCCGGAAACAACACCAACGATAACTCAGTGACCGAAGGACTCACCAAGAAGCAGAAGGGTAAAGCGAAGGCTACAGACAGCGACCTTTCGGCCGAGGACGCCGCCTCAGGATCGTCGACTGTGACCCAGGAGACGCAAGTCGTGGCACCAGTAACCAACCGCCAAAATTCGGCCTCATCTACAACCTGCCTCCGGAGTGCTCCAGCCTTGAACTAAGTACGAAGCTGAAGGATTGCGGAGTAATTCTCGAAATTCAACTTCAATCCCTTGTGCCGACACGCCTCGAAGCCGCCGCTAGCGTCACCTTCCAAGTCCGCTACGGTGTCAACCGCTTGATGGGCAAAGCCCGGCGTGGCGAGTTCTCTGTTGGCAGTTACGTACCGGTTGTTCAGCGCGCGCAGACCGGTTGAGTACCTCGAACATCATGATTCTCCATTTGGGGAGATTGCCTGGAAATTTCACCCTTTCCAGGTCCTTTCAGGCTATTGCGACCTAGCAGCGATCAGTGTCCTGTCACGTTCGCGTCAACAGCCTGGAACATAGGCGGGTTTGTGGATGATCCGCTTATCACAATTGGAGACGCAATCATGCATGACTGGGGAAAAGAGAACAGTCTCAAGCACAGACCTAGCGTTCAAGGTTCTAGTAGAGAATCCAGAATAGCAGATAGTCTGGGAGCCTGAGACTCAACTAGACAGAGAAACCTGACACTTAAGGTGGTCAGAATAAGAGGAGATCCTCATGAATGGCAATTTGCTTATTTGATACCCATTTTGCTGTTTAGAGTTGCACATTGGGCCGCATTCCTGAAATTACAGAGTGTGAACCTTTCCCCGTTTTATTTCAAATTAGAGATTAAGGCCTGCAGGCAGGCCGGGAGATCTGCAAATGCGTAAGACTTTCGCAAGAAGTCCATCGTCGGGGTTTTCGTCTCCGTCTGCCCCACGTCACGTTGGGACTCTCTTGTCCTCAACAGGGCGTTCCTCCGCGGTCAGCACGTTGACATGTCCACGGATCGTGTATTTTAGTTTAGTTTAGTTTATTTAACGCCGTAGGGGCTCTAGGCTCCAGATCCTTGTGCATGTTTGGCGTGCAGGTGACTATCTCAGGGGCTAATATACAAGCCTTACTGTACGGGAAGCAGGGCATGACTCCCTATTTCCCACGATAACCTGCAAATCCAACCTCGAGGGCACACATGTTATTCCGTCAGTTTCCGTTGGCCCCGCCATTTGGGCTCGTGCTCTGTGATATCTGGTTCGTAGTCGGTAGTCCGAATAGCGTCGAGGAGCTCCTCTCGCTTTGACAGTTAGTGCCTTGCGTTTAAAAGGCTATGAGCTAGAAAAAAATAAAAACATAAGGAAAGATAAGAAAAGTAATAAAGAGATATGGTAACAGGCGCAGTTACACCTGGTGGTCGATGAATTGATGTTCTGTAACCATGGGACAGACTTTTGTATAGAATTTTGTCCACTTGCAGAAGTCTTCGAATTCCTTTGGGTACGTTATCAGCCATTTCCAATAGGCCCTCCCTTCTGGTTTGGGTTCTCCGTTGTGACCGCGGTTCCTTTGTGGCCACCTAGACCGTTTCGTAAGGGCTCTATTGCAGAAAGCAAAGTGGGCTCGCGTTTTGATTCTCCCGCAAGAGCAGTTGTAGTGTTCCTTGTGCTTGAACCTCCTATGATACCAGTTAAAGTCGCCGTGGCCAGTTCTAGATGCGATAAGCCTGTGGAGCGTTGGCCTGTCCAGCTTGAGCTCTTCTGGGCACTTGAGTGTAGTTTTCTGAAGGCCGAGACTTTTGTATTTGTCAGTGATGTTCTTGTCCCACCATTGCTGGTGTTCTTTCCGAGTCTTTTCGTTGAGAAGGCCTAAGACGCCCGCAAGCGTGGGTTTGGCCCCGGTAGGGATTGGCAAGGTGATGCCTTCCTTTGCCTTTTCGTCGGCCTCTTCGTTGCCTTGGATGTCCATGTGCCCTGCACGGATCGTGTAGCCGTGGTCATTAACGGCAGTGCAGTGGAAGTGCGGGCATTTACCTTGGCACATGAGTCGCCTGGAGCAAGGCCATCACGGCCGGCTGTAATCAAAACTCTAGGTTAAATAATGTAAATGATAGAAATAAGAACGGATAACTTACGAGTATGCTGACCACTTTACAACAGGGCCGATGCTGAAGATTTTGCTCTCGAGACTACCCATATGTTCTGTCGTCGATCTCGGTGACGGACGTTTGTCTTACAAATCGATGCGAGCCCGATATTACATGTACCTTGGAATCGAAATGGTGACGTGGTGCGGTGAGAGATCGCTGGCGGAAAAGCCGCCGCTGGGCCCACCGAATATCATGGGAGGGGCGAGCAATAAACAATGGTGGTATTTAATCTCGGATACGTGGTGCATGGGAACAGCTACATCCTCATTCAATGCGAGAAGTACGAAAGGCTATCAATTGATGATGCGGTAGCAGATTACATGTAAGGCTGAGATGCAACTTGGTTTGAGGTGACGGCTGCTGTTGCGGTGAGGGTATTCAAAAGCGGTTGCCTGGATATATATAGGGCGTGATTAAAACTTCCTTATCTCCATTTCCATGTTTAATAACGGAACGCATGGAAGTTCGACTGTATATCTAAATTTTACCCGCAAAGACGGTGGCCCTGGCTGGGGAAAAGCTCTTATATGCTGCTTGCCTTATTGCGGGTCTTTTAGTGAATTTGATTGAGCAGATAAGTGTTTGAGTCAATCTCTCATTCTCTTTTCCATGTGTGCACTCTGGGGCAGCAAAGTTTGAGTTGCCCGAGTCATTGGCATGCATCTTTGGCTGACTTCTCAGAGCATCAAGATAGACCTCACGACCAAGGTTTGCTGATGCTGACGTGGAAACCGCTTTCACATAGGCTGGTAATCATCTCTTAATTGCACATGACTCGAAATGTCGGTCAACGTTCTGACACTCTCCAAACGAGCTTCTCTCCGCTCACACCATTTCTCAGCGTGTCCAATGCCTTCGTTGCCCTCTCTAACAAAGTCTGCCCTTCGATGATACGGTATCGATTAGGCTTCACGGCGCCTTCGGCTAGCAGTGTCGGCATGATATCCAACTGCAACTTCTCTTTGAACAGCGGGTTCTGTGGCGAGCCGGTTAGCAATCATCAACTGCAGCAAGGCGGAGTTGCACATAGATACCTTCCAGTAGAAATGGGTTCGAACACCACGAACAATCACTCCCTCGGCCCACTGAGCACTGGTGCTGGCATCCATAGAGTACTCGGGCTTTTCTTCGTTTGAAGCGTGTTTCAGTATGACTGGCAGCATGACCGCGACAGTGCTGCCGGTGCGAGCAACCTTTGATATCGGTTCAAGTGATCCCTCCTGCGAGCCAATACAGTCAACGATCAACGGATACGATGAGGTCGAGCCGTCGCGGCAGCTGTTCAGCAAGTCGTCAACGATAGCATGGCTCCTGTAATCGAAGCACTTGGTCGCCCCCAAGCTCGTTAGATATTCACGGTGCTTGGGTGATGCTGTGGCAACTAGGTTTCGGTAGCCGTAGAACTTCAAAACCTGGATGATGTGTTGTCCTACTGACGACGCGGCACCCCAGATCAGGATTCGGTCATCGGCCCGGGGCGGCTGGTAGTTCGCAGGCTTCGGCCACGGTGTTGGCAGGCGCAGATCGGCCCACAAGGTGTTGAAGGCAGTCACGAAGTTCTCCGGTACTGTGGCAGCCTCTTCCAGCTTGAAGCCCTCTGGTATCTGTATACAAGCAGTCAGAACAAACGCGGCTATATGCCCGTGCGCTCGGGGCGTGTAAACTATCTCACCTTGCCGAACACCCACTCAGGGGCTGTCGCGAACTCCTGGTGCGCTTTCCACTTGGGCTTCTGGTGAGCAAAGCCAAATACGGCGTCTCCCACTTTAAGGTGCTTGACATCCGGGCCAACTTCAATAACAACACCTACACTGGTAGATCCGCTCCTTGATGGGTGCTCCACCAGTAGTCCACCGTCAGCTTGGTGAAGGTCAAGGGGTGTAGATGCGGTCCATTTGACGTTGATCAAGACCTCGTCGTCCTTCGGAGCAACAGTGTCAAACTTGCAGATCTCGTAGGGTGCTCTCGGCGCCACCATGACCAAGGCATCGTGGGTTCGGTGGGCCATTATTGAAGAGACGGTTGCCAGGTTCGGGATATGGAAAATGCTGCACAGGGTTGATTGAACTGAACTGACTGCTCAAGCCACGAGCCATCAAAACATTGACAGGAGACATATCTCCTTTGTTTTTGGCTAGCAGCTCAGCAGGACATGGTGAAACTCTATGTGAATGAGCATCGTGACCTGCTGACTTGCAAACGATGGTTACAAATCTTGGCCCCTCTCGCCCAAAAGGGAAAGAAACTGCGACTCCTGCAGGTTTCGTTGGACGGCGATTGCGAGATTGGTAATCGGATTAATTAGTCAAGTTTGAGTGGTCGAGATGCCATCTCTTTCACAGCCACAAGTGTCCACACATGCTGTGGCTTAGAGGAGTGGTCAGCTGCGGTTGGTGCCGGCTCGTATGGTTTCTTCCATTCTCAACAATTTGAAGTGTAGGTAAATCCCAGTATGGATCCGGCCCAGTAGAGAGGTTAGAGGTTTGGGCAAGAGCCCGGCGAATTCCCGCATGTGACAGCGATGATTATGTTTCGCGGCTGATTAAGCAAAAGTGGATGCGAAATTACCGCAAACCACAGCTAAATGAGTGTGGCTTAGCATGCGAGCTGCAGTGGATACGGCGGTAAGCAGCCGGGAACTTCAATCCCGTGTCGTACCACTGGTCAAATTGCCCCTATTACTACTTGTTTAACAGACTTGGACCGACTGGAGGCACTTCCAATGACCTCAAAATGAAGTTCGCCAACTGTCCGCACACAATTGCTGGGAATCACTCGGTCCTATCTCTCACCTTGTTGCACGATGGCTTCTCGTGAGAAGCCCAAGTACGAATTTGGCGGCCCGTAAGCCACTCGTTGAGTGGAAACCCGATTCTCTGATCTCAAATTGCTGACGCAGGCAGGCTCGGAGCCGCAGCCATCGTCACCGGCCTACCTGTGCTACTGTACTTCTTTGTCTTCGCTTGCAATGACATCAGTGGGTGTCCCGTGCCTTTTCTACTGGAGCCGAGTGCCCTCAGCTGGGAAAGATTAAAGTCCGAAACCGGGTGGCCCGAAGGTGGCGTCTGGGAGCTGGGCAGCTGGAAGGTCACCGGTGTCGTGCTAGGCTACTATCTCGTCAGCCTCGTGCTCTGGAGGGCGTTACCAGCTCATGAGACGTACGGAACGAAGTTAGTGCACCACGGCCGTCCATTGAAGTATCGCTCCAACGGTGAGTATTATCGCCGCCTTCCCATGTTCAAGTTGCTGATGGTCCGTTGCAAGCCTCCTCGGCAACTATGGCTCACCTAGTGGTGTGCGCACTGGGGACCTATGTGCAGGGCGCCGACTTCGTCTGGTGAACCTACATCACAGAAAACTACATACAGATTCTCACGGCGAATGTTCATCGCGTCTGCTCTGTCGGTCTATGTCTATGCGCGCAGCTTTACCGTGAACGCCAAGTACCCCAACAACGATCTGCGTGAACTGGCAGCCGGCGGGCACACGGGCAATCTGGTATACGATTTCTATATCGGTCGGGAACTGAACTCACGCGTCGCCCTACCATTCTTTGGCGAGGTTGATATCAAGACGTGGTGCGAGATGCGGCCAGGCCTTACTGCCTGGATCCTGCTTGACATGGCTTTCATTGCCAAGCAATACCGACTATACGGCTACGTGTCGGACAGAATTGTCTTCACCACTATCGCCCAGGCTTACTACGTTTTCGACGGCCAATACAACGAAAGCGGTATTTTGACCATGATAGATATCACGACCGGCGGCTTTGGCTACATGCTCTCCTTTGGTGATCTAGTATGGGTGCCGTTCCTGTACTCGACGCAGTGCCGCTACCTTTCCGTGTATCCCGTGCACCTCGGCTGGGCCGGCATCGCCACTGTAAGCGCCGTGTTCGCGTTGGGACTGTACATCTTCAAGGCCGCCAACGCGCAGAAGAACGTCTTCCGCACGAATCCCAACGACCCCAGTGTGGCCAGCTTGTCGTTCATCCAGACCAGGCGCGGAACGAAGCTGCTCACGGCAGGATGGTGGGGCGTGTCGCGCCACATCAACTACTTTGGCGATTGGCTGCAGGCGTCACCATTCAGCTTGCCCACGGGCATCCCCGGCTACACCATAGTGTCTGCTGGGAGCATGGCTGCTGCCTCGCATGCCTCGAAGATGCTCGATGGACGGAAGGTAGTGCAGGGTCAAGCTAGAGGTTGGGGCATCTTTTTTACGTATTTCTACGTGCTGTACTTCGCAATCTTGCTGATGCATCGCGAGCGAAGGGATGACGCCATGTGCTTGGAGAAATATGGAGAGGACTGGGAGAAGTACAATAAGTTGTGAGATGGAGAATCTTACCTGGTGTCTACTAGTCCTACCAGTACGTGTGATGATACGTCACAGACGCCTGCGGCAATAGTGCGTAGTCGCTTGACACATCATAGGCTACTAGAATGTTATGTCATCACGAGTTCGATGGTATGTCCCGCTTAGTCCTCACTCCAGTGCCGCTAACACATTTCCTTAAACACCATAAGAGCCTTGATCAATTGAGCAACATCATACGATATGCTTTGAGAGACTTCCCAGTCAACATTGGAGTGGGATTGCGAGTGGTGTGACTCCTCGACAGAACTGCAATGTAATTCTCCAACCTGACGTGGCCGTGGTGGCTGCATGAGGTAAGCCACACGACGAAGGTATAATCAGCTCATACGGGATCTCCCTACCGACATGGGTCATCAGCATGCCTCTCCCCTGTACTACGAATGGGCTGTGAGGCGAGAATTCATCTACTCTCTGACGGTACGTCAGCAGGCTGAGACCTAGACAAATCTTCACTGACTTGGCGCATATTGCTGAGCTCAGCACAAGAGTCAAACCTACAGGGCAAAAGTTGCGAATGATTATGGATCATTAAAGTGCAACTCGGCATCCATTGGACCCTTATGCATGCATCAGACATCATCATCGGGCTGGGCATCTCCTTGAGAATGGCCTGGATTAGTCGACCCTGCAGTCAAACAGTCAGATCGGATCGTACTTGCAGATTACATGCATGCAACTTACTTACTCAGCTGTTTAGGTACTCAGTCATGTCAGGTGCGCTTGAAACCCCGTCGCTCTTGGTGAGCTTTCGGTCTGGACAAGGAAACCTCTCTGTACGGACATGCAGTGGGCTCGGGCTATATAAGCGCGCCTTCCCGGCATGGGTATGCTGCTTTGGCTTATACCTAGCAGAGACTCACTGTGCTTCACTTGCTCTACATGAGTTGCGGCATCTTATCGAACATGGTCAAGTTCACGACGGCCGTTGCCGTCCTTCTCGCTGGAGCCAGTGCCTCGCCAACAGTCAAGGACAATGGCAGCACGCCTCTGGCCAAGCGAGCTACCAGCTTTTGGTATGCCAACATGGACCACACAGGAAACGCAAGAGGCTATGCCCCGGACCTCGACAACGACTTCACTTACCCAGTCTTCATGGCTGTGAATGCGGGAGACGGAGCTGGTATCCAAAAAGCCATCAATGATGCTGGCAACGGGGCAAGCCGCCATCCTCAGTGGCTTGCCTCACAGCCACGAGTAAGACTTCTTGCTCAGTCGCAATCAGATTGATACTGATCTGTGTTGCAGGTCGTTTACCTACCACCCGGAACCTACGAAGTCAGCCAGACTATTCGCATGAACACAGACACCATCATCATGGGTGACGCCACCAACGTAAGCATAAGCTACAGCCCCCATTGGGAATGTGCTGAGCATGTGTATCTAGCCACCGACAATCAAAGCTGCAGCAAGCTTTTCTGGTGACCAGACGCTGCTCTCGGGTAAGCAACCTCGCGAACAGAAAGAGGAGTCGCATCTCATATTCAATCGCAGCACAGGATCCGGGAACTGGGGAGAGTGGAGAGCTGTCCTTTGCCGTGGGACTCAAGAACCTGAAGCTCGACACCTCAAGCATCGCTGGAGGTAGGACTAGACACCCACCTCGTTTCATTCGTGTGCTTCAGCTGACACGAAATAAGGAAATCAATTCACCGCACTCTGGTGGGGTGTCGCTCAAGCGGCACAACTTCAAAACGTCAAGATTACCATGACATCGGCACCATCTAACACTAACACGGGACACACGGGTATCCGCCTGGGCAGAGGATCTACCCTTGGACTTTCAGATGTTCGCGTTGAGCATGGACTGGTAAGAAGCTCTACCCCTGGGCTCGTTACCTGTTTGCCGCTTCTAACACACTTCGTACAGAACGGCATCTGGCACGATGGCCACCAGCAGGCGCTGTATAAAAGTATATACTTCTACCAAAACACTGTCGGCATGCTCATCACAGGAGGCAACACCATCAGCATCATTGCCCCCACTTTCGACACATGTGGCACTGGCGTACGAAACACCGGTGGTGCTCCGTGGATTGGTTTGATTGACGCCATATCGATCAACTCCGGCGTAACCTTCGTCACCACCGGCTTCCCGTCGTTCCTAATCGAAAACCTAAGCAAGGATACCAACTCCGATATTGCCCAAGTACCTGACAAGACTGTCCTTGGCCCACAGAGTCACGTCAACACGTTCACGTACGGAAACACAGTCGGCCGCAACCCGATCTACGGGGCGACTCCTTCCACCAACACTCGTCCCGCTGCGCTCGCGCCAAATGGCAAGTTCCCCGTCGTCCCGGCTCCGAACTACGCCTCAAACCCCGTGAGCGACTTCATCAATATCAAGGACCCAAACCAGAATGGCGGCCACACAGTTCTCGGCGACAACACCAAGGATGAGTCTGGTGTGTTGAACCAGATTCTGCAGTTCGCAGCTTCCAACAACAAGATCGCCTACTTCCCTTTCGGCAAGTACCGAGTTGACGACACGCTGCTTATCCCCAAAGGCTCACGCATCGTGGGCGAAGCCTGGGCCACCATCACCGGTAACGGAAGCAAGTTCAAGGACTCCAGCAACCCGAAGCCGGTTGTCGCCGTCGGCAACGCCGGTGATGTGGGCACCGCCCAGATCCAAGACATGCGCTTCACAGTCTCCGACGTCCTCCCCGGCGCCATCATCGTGCAATTCAACATGGCCGGCTCGTCCCCCGGCCAAGTAGCTCTCTGGAACTCCCTCATCACCGTTGGCGGCACGCGGGGCGCCGGCGCCCTAACCAACAGCTGCCGCGACGCGAGCAACGAGTGCAAAGCCGCGTTCCTAGGCCTGCACTTCGCGCCCTCGTCGTCGGCGTACGTCGAGAACGTCTGGAACTGGGTCGCGGACCACATCACCGAAGACTTCGACGGCGGGTCCAACATCGCGGCCAAGGGCGGCGCGCTCGTCGAGTCAACCAAGGGCACCTGGCTGCACGCGCTCGGCAGCGAGCACTGGTGGCTGTACCAGCTGAACCTGCGCGGGGCGCGCAACGTGCTGGTCTCGCTGCTGCAGTCCGAGACCAACTACGACCAGGGCGACCACGCGCGACAGGTGCCGCCCGCGCCGTGGACCGCCGACGTCTCCGGTTGGGGCGACCCGGACTTTTCGTGGTGCGGGGGCGGCGACACGCGCTGTCGCATGGGGTTTGCGAATTACATCAATGGCGGCGCCGATATCTACACCTACGCGTCGGCTTCTTGGGCGTTCTTCAGCGGGCCGGGATACCAGGCCTGCGCTGGGGCTTTCCAGTGCCAAAGTGAGTTTCTTCGCCGGTTGTTCCCATGTTTGTCTGTTGCGGATTTGCTCGGTGACTGACCACTGAATGACTAGATTTTATGCATTGGATCGCGCAGACGCCGACAAATCTGCAGGCGTTTGGGCTCTGCTCGAAGGATACCTGGGCGACGCTTCGCTTGGCTGACGGGACCAATATCGTGACTCAGGATGGGTTTGAGGGGTCTTGGAGCGGCGATGTTGGACGCTATACACCTGGGACTTCGACTTCGGTGGAGGGAGAGACTGTATCTTTGGAACTTTGATGGTCCGGACTTGACTGTGTCGCTGCATTGAGTAGGCCTGCTGTATAGACTGGAAGAGCCTAAGCCCTTACCATATCTTTATCTTCATTCCACCTTCCATTGTCTGATGCCACGACGCAGAGGGCATGAGCCGATGTCGAGGCTGCGATCAACTCATCCAACCACAGAGACAGGCTAGGGGTTCGCATAGAGAGAATGTGCTCTCATATCAAAGAGTCAAGTACCCAAAACATAGCCGGTTTCTCCTCTTGTCACAGCCTACGTGGTATAGCGTACAGTTGGCGTGGGCTCTCGGACATCGCACCATGAACTTTGCATGGCCTATAAAGCCAAGGACTGTAAGGTTTCATCAAGGACTTGGGAAAAAATAGAGCCATGGTTGATTCGTTGTAGGAGATATGAACTTACGGTTCGAGTTGGTTCTAACGTGAGTTAGGCAGTGAGGTGCAGTTCTAGCGTGAGCTAGGCAGGGAGGTGCAGTTCTAGCGTGAGCTAGGCAGGAAGGTGTACCGGCTTAAGCCGTAGGAGGACTGAGAGGAAGAGGCGTAGTAAGTATCACATGGCTTGCAACAGCCTTCTCAGTTAGGTTGAGTTGCAAGGCACCTGAGGGGTGTCTGCCCCTCAGTGTCACCCAGCCGAAGCCTGTGACATTGTGTTAGTTTCATTTGGTTGAAAAGTGTGTTGATTGTTTGTTGGTTTGGTTTTGTTTGTGTGTTGTTTGTTTTTGTTTGTGGGGTTCGAACAGGAGACGTTGGAAAGTATGTTAGTAATTGCAGAGAAGGATGACCGTGATCCAAATCAACCATGGCTTGTTGGTGAAAGTTATTGCACACCACAACTAATAACAGCTCCCACCAAGGCCCTCCCGGACGACCTTTCTGGTGACGGCACGTGCCACTTGTATTCATAGAGTAGGCGCATCGATCACATGCCCGTGAGGTCGGATTCGTACATCTAGACTTCCATGACTCCCCCCTGGTGGTATCATCGGGTCATTAGGAACTCTGGCGTTGGGTTGTGAACTTGCACCTCAATCCCGAATACGCGCAGTGTATTAGCTATTGATCAAGGGGTGGTGTAAGACGATGAGGATGGCGGGCCGAATGCCTTCGTCCTGGCGCATCTCGTCAGAGGACTGTTTGTCTGACATGTGCTCGAGGTCGTGCAGTGTGTTGAAGAACGCGTGCACTTGGGCTGAAATGTGGGCGTTGACGGCGTCGAACCCGGCGGGCGAATCCTTGCAAAGGGGGGGCGTCCCACGCGAGTTGAGAAGCATGGCCATTTCGTATCGAGGTTGCACTCCCGCATGCCGACGGGTGGCTGGGTGATGGTTGCCTGGGACGCCTCGCTGGCGAGTCAAAAGACTACGTGTTTGACTGCTGTTACGCTTACATCATACGTGTCGAATGGTTTGAAGAGGTTCAGAATATGAACGCTGTAAACTTCAATGATGTTCATGTATCTCTTGCATCGAGTAAATGTGACGATTGTCTTAGGCTAAGACGAACTTACTGGTCTCCCTCCCCTCATCCAAGATCTCGCCTTTCATATAAGCATCCAGATAACATTCTCCTATTAGTTCGTGATCATTGTCGGCGGTCTCTCTCAGTATGACTGGCACCCTGCAGCCAAATAGAATGCAGATGAGATCTCCCGGCTGGGCGTTCCGAGATGCCATTCCCATGTGACCCTCTCGCGTAGTCATCAATCGAAGACCCATTCGCCCAGAGCTGGTTCGGTCTCTGAGGATTGTCAGGAAGGTTCCTCTCCTCCTTGCTAGTGTGCGCCGGTGGGCTTCGTGGTGCTGATCTCTTGCACAGATCCTCGAGTCTTGTTCCTCTTATGCGCAGATCTCTATTCTTATGGTACCAATTCCGGAAGTCTCTACTGAGACCATCGTGTTCCACTTTGTCTGCAAGTAGCTTTTCGAGGAAGTCATTCCTGAAGTTTTCAACTCGTACTGGCTGATTGAGGTAGCGATCCTGTCGGTCCAGTACGAGGCACCGGATAACAATGTCAAGCAGTTCTTCAGTGGTGCTTGTTGGCAATTCTCTGCGATTCGGAGGCTCTGAATTTAGTGACCAAGCGGTAGCACATTCATGATGCCATCTGGACTGGACTAGAGGACAATTTTCGTCATCAATGGCCCCAAGTCCATCGATGTAGTCGATCGCAATGCCTGCACATTGCAGGCGCAAGCCATCATCAAAGAATGTGCAATTCGGGCGAGTAGCGCGGGAAGCATTGTACTTCTCATGCCCGGGGACGCTCCACACTGGTACAAAGTTATCACCCTCGCTGACCATCAAGGGCACGACGAAGGTCCCAGTAGGAAGCGACCAGTTGGGGACCCAGGAGGGCAACTTCCGTTTCTCGGAGATTGGCGAACGTCCGGTGAATATGGACGCATAACATATGATATCCAGCTTCGCGTGCGTCTTGATCCATGCCTTCACCAAAGCAGTGTAGGTAGACCCAACGCCTACGCAAATCTCTAGCGATTGGACCATATCCCGTTCATCCCGGCTAGTCAAGGCCCCAAACACGCCGTATATGCGGTCCACGGGCTTATGGACTAGGTTGCTGCCGTTGTACGCCATCAGGGCAAGCAGGCTCGTTTTCACAACCCCCTCCTGCTTGCTAACATGCTGGAGCACTCGCCGTCGTTCCCACGCGGCTTGCCAGGAATCATGGTCAATGAGGTGATCCGGCTTGCAGATCCAAATGGCGTATATCGCATCGCGCAGGGCTCCCCGCGTGATGTTCTTCCCGCCACACCACAGTGTCATGCTGCCCTTGGGTAGGATGAATTCTTGGAATGTCCAGACTCGTCTCCACCAAGGCCTGAGCAGCAAAGCCTCCAGAGCATTCCATCTCCGGTCCTTACTCAGATCATCAGGCGTTACTCGACGATGGGTTATCTTGTAAGCTGCTTCAAGTTCACGACGGCGAGTCGCCAACTCCTGCAGTAACGCCATGGCTTCGTCGGAATCGTGGGACCTAGGGCCGAGCCAAACGATCGAGTGGTTTGATAGCATGAAGATGTCCTCCATCAGCCGAATCTGCCTAGACTTTTCGTCCTCGTCGCTTTGGTTGATACAAATGCAGTCGATCCAAAACAGCTCATGTATCTTGAAGGACGACGATTCCTCGCATATCAGTTCTAGAGCTGCGTAGGCGTTACGTGGGATAGAGAGCCTCTTTTGTTCGTTTTCGATCCGAATTGTCGCCACATTTTGCTTCTCGCCCCATACGTACGAGATCGTCTTAAAACATGTGCTTGGGTCACGGAGGTCCGAGGTTTCCACATCTATAGTAATTCCTTTATTGTCATCGCGCGACACTTCGATCAGCCTAACCTCATTGGCTTTGAGTGGACGGTAATCTTCACGAAGTCGATCGCGGAGCTTGGGCATGGTTGAGTACTATCGGAGTAAATGAGGAGGCAGACGGACAAGAGCCTTGGTTCCGTGTCCTTCAACGGTGGAGGGCATTCGCTGGCTGCTGAGGGGCCAGTGTGGATGGGATCAACAGACTTCGCGTTCATCTGGTTTTCTGGGCAATAAGAAAGTGTCGTAAATCAGGGCAGCGTGGCAGTGTTGACAGAAGTGGCTGTGCCGCTGTATTAGGGGTAAAGGAGGCTGTGCTTTTGCTTACTACATTAAATATGCACGTGCGAAAGGTCAGCGAACCAATCAACCCAGATAAGGACGCGATCTATTAGCAGAGAAGCAATCTTCCAGTCTTTGGTGGCATCAAGAACTATGGCTGACTCATATTCCACAGGTTAGTCGCATATTTCCCCTTGCCGAGAGAGAGTCAGCTGAGTTACTGGTACATATTCTTTTCAGGGGGCGTGTAATTAGCTACCTGACCGCTACGTATTTCCCCCTCTTGTAATTCAAGCTTCCTCGAAGCTATCGAATGTCCACCCATACGGCGTGCACAGATGGTGTTGAATACACGGATGTTGATTGATGCTATTGATTGTTCTGCTCTGCGTGCAGAGATTGATCATCTGTCTTCTTGGTGGGTCAGATGCCCTGTGCGTCTCTGCCCCACTGGAGATCTTTCGGTGTCTATCTCCGGCTCCCATTCAACAGATGGCGCCCATCGTGTCTCACACGACCAATTCTCTTCTTGGAGCTTGGATGCGGCGAGTGAAACTGTATGCCTCTGGTTAAACCTTAGCTCGTATCGTTATTATAAATAACGAATTATTACAAATTTTTTATGCTGTAAAAACCCCGCGCTTTAAACCATTTAAAGCTATAAAATCTGTCACAGGGCAGATACAAGCACAGGACGAAGATGCCCATCAATTACTCGTATTGTACAAAAATACTCTGGTGAGGAGGGAAAGAAGGATCTGACATCCTACCAAAATCTGGTGGGGAGATAAATCTTCAATCCCGCCCTACTTTTATCCTTCTAGCTGTGCAGCGGCGCAATGCGTCTACCCCACCACATCACCTAATGGGAGCGCATACACTATGATGGATGGCAAATCTATACAAAATCGACTTTTTAAAAACTAATAAAGCGATTATTTTGAATGTTACTTTTTATTTAATAAAAATATTTATTAAAAGAAATTTAAAAAAAACATTTTATTAAATTATATTAAATGACGTTCTATCTTATGGTTTTTATTATACTTTCGCCTATATAAACAAATAAAGATTTTTTGATATTAATAATAAAATTTAAATAAACATGATTTTAACATTTATACTAAGTACGTTTAAGCTTATATTATATAATAAGTCGGTTTTACATTCTTTTTTAATATAAAAAGTATAACTAACATAAACTATTAGTTAACCAATCGTAATAAGTTATTGAACGTTTTTAAAAACATTTATTTATTAATAATAATCTTTCGATTATTATTATTTTTGTTGGAACTGTGATGGTTGCTACATTGCTACTGTCACGGCGAGCGTACTGAGGAGCTGGGACATGGCCGGCAGCAAGTAGCTATTACTCTATTGACGAGAATATCAAGACTAGAGAAGAAAGGAAGAGAGAGAGAGAGATAGGTACAGTGGGAGGTTGCCCCTTTAAGGGGATCTTCTGGTCAGATCCTTCCCCTATTGGGAAGTATCTGCTTGTTATGTGGGAAGGTCTGTGCAGGCCCTCACAGCGCTAAGTTAATAAACAGCTACCTACCGTAAAGCTATATAACGATTACGTAATAGCTAATAAATATTTTTGAATAATACGTTAATATTATAAAGGCGAAAATTTATACGTAAGTTATATTAAAAGTGTATATTTCGTTTAATAAATAACCCTTTACTAAAACTTTTAATATTTTTAATATTATCGTTTATCATTTATATTACGATTATTAATATAGTGTGAGATTCTAGAAGGGTCACAAGCCTTGGGTTGTGAGCAGTCGATGCAAACGTTATTATCATTTGCAAGTATACTCGGCAGGGCTAATTTACAGCTAAATACCATACTGCACCATGCCAGGGTAGATCCACTGTTCCCTTGACAGCCCCCTAGTGGGTACTGCACCTAAGGGCACCATATCTGAGATCCAACATTTGACATATAGCTTTTATTTTATTAATTTTATAAAGGTTTAAAAAACATATATAAGCAATAATAAAGTTAAATACATTTTCGTTACTTTTAAAAAGTTTAGATTAGAAGATAAAATCGGTCAAAATACTTTAAATTACGAAAAGCTAAACTATATATATGTTATATATATATATATTCATTAACGTAGCTGACAAGCGAGTTGACATTACAAGCGAGTTGGCACTCGTCATGAACTTTCCAACCAATACGATTCAAACCATCATATCTCCACCAACAACAATGGCACCGCGTTATAACGAATCAGACTTGCAGCTAGCTGTTCAAGCTAAATGACGTGACCCTCATATTCCTATATTTCAGCTTGCGAAACTCTTTAACGTCCCTCGTTCCACTTTGAGTAATAGAGTCAAAGAAATGCTATCACGACGCGACAGCATGCCTAATACTTTGAAACTTATGGTTTCCGAAGAGAATGCCATTTGTTCCTTTATTCTCAACCTGGATGCGCGAGCATTTCCGCCCGGTACAGTTATGTTGAAGATATGGCGAATCAATTGTTGGCGGCGCATGGGGCTGGACGCGTTGGAAAGAACTGGACGCGGAACTTCATCAAACGTACACCAGGCCTCCGGATGCGTTTTCATTGGAAGATAGACTACCAGAGGGTCTTAAACGAGGATCCAGACGCGTATTGCGCGTGGTTTTGCCAAGTTGCAGCGGCAGTCGCGAAACATGGTATCCAAGACGCGGATATTTACAACTTTGACGAGACTGGGTTTATGATGGGCATTATTGGGTCCGGCATGGTCGTTACAAGCGCCGAAAGACGTGGCAGGCCTAGACAAGCTCAGCAAGGCAACAGGGAATGGTCTACAGTAATCTCTGCTGTTAATGCTGATGGTTGGGTGGTCCAGCCGTTCATCATTCTACAGGGCAAAACCCACCTCGCGTCATGGTATCGCGACACGATATTACCACGCGATTGGAAGGTGGCCGTGTCTGACAACGGGTGGACCACAAATGAGATTGGTTTGGAATGGATTCAGCATTTCGACAAGTATACCAGACCGCGTATGACTGCCGGTAAACGCCTCCTCATCCTAGATGGTCACGAAAGCCACCATTCCCAGGTCTTTGAGGATTATTGTCAGAACAACGGCATTATCACCCTTTATATGCCTGCCCACTCGTCACACAGGCTCCAGCCTCTAGATGTCGGCTGTTTTAGCCCGCTCAAACGAGCTTACGGTCGCATGATTGAGGATCTCATCTGGCGTCATATAACCCACGTTTCGAAGGAGGACTTCCTTGCAGCGTTTTATGAAGCACACAACGCTGCTATGACGCCAGGAAACATTCGAGCAGGTTTCAGTGCCACTGGGCTTGTTCCTTTTGACCCAGAAAGTGTCATTTCAAAGCTGGATGCTGTCGCTGTCATACGAACACCGTCGCCAGACCCCAATCTGCTACCCATTACTTGGACTTCGAAGACGCCTACCACCATTAACGAAGCGGTAAACCAATCAGTTTATATCCGAAACCGAGTCAGAAACCACCAGAGAAGCTCACCTACATCAATAGTTAATGCGTTGAGCTCGTTTTCGAAGGCTACATACGGTCTTATGCATAAGGTCGCTTTGGTTGATTCCCGGGTCCGCGAACTAAAAGAGGCCAATCACCTACTAAGTAAATGCCGGAGAACAAAAAACAAACGTCTAGTGAAAGGAGGAGTACTTTCTGTTGAAGATGCAGTAGATCTTCAGGCTGTAAAGAGTGGTGCTGAGCTGGCAAAACAGGAAATGGGTGAAGGTAGTCGTCGTCCGAGGCGGGCGGCAGCGCGTGGGTGACGGTGTGGCGTTTGCGGCAATACTGGCCATAATGCGCGAACTTGTACAATAGAGATAGAAACCTCTGAGGAAGAGGAATCCGATTGATTGAATTGAACTGAATGCGTTGTGGTGAAGTTATTTGACATGGCAGTTGGAGAGTTCATGACGAGTGCCAACTCGCTTGTAATGTCAACTCGCTTGTCAGCTACGTTATTAAAATAAGTATTAAGAAATTAATATATATATAATATCGTATAACGTGTAAAGCTAAGAGGCTCGTACAAAGTTATATAAGTGGATTAAAAAATAAAGGATTTTATATCTTATCATTCGTATGAAACATTTTAACTTAAATCTAATAAAAATAAAAATAAAAATAAATTTTTTGATTTCGTATATTAAACAAATACTAGAATATTGACCTTGAATTATAACGTATAATATAAAGATAGCAGTATGAATGAGGCGATATAAATTAACGATCTTGATATAATAATATAGAATAAGCCTTTTAATTTTGAAAAGGTGATAGTATTTTAAAGGACTACGTATATAATTTAATATATCATAAATGTTGGATCCATGTGATTCTACAGTCAAACCATCTATACAGAACCCATATGTATGATTAGAGAAGAGATTAGACACCGGATTGTGAGGTCACTTAGATAAACCTGCAGGTCCAGCTAGACTTCCCAATCCAACCATCAGCAACATCATGACCTTGACCCCATACTCGAGTATTATGATTGATCGTTCAAGCCTGTTCCCACAATGAAATATATTTGCTTTTGAATGAAAAGAATATTAAAGAACGCAAGTTTATTAAATGAATTAAAAAGATACTTATTAAAATTAATGGTACGTTTAAAAAAACCCTTATTAAGAATTCTAAAATTCTAAAATCGTTATATCATTTAAAAGATCGTATGAAAATAAACTAGTTTTACTTTTTAATATTAAACGGCTGATTAGCTAAGTTAAAGTTTAGCCGCGTAATATTTTGAAAATTTAATTGTGTAAGTCAGTTGAAATCTTATTAACTTTATTAATTTTATTGTCGGATGTGGTAGTAGCTCAGGGTGTGTCCCTGGGTAGTGTGTACGCTGTGGGTGGGATGGTTGCCCCACAGCTCCGTTACCACTACATATAGACGCGCTGCAGCAGTATTTAGGTGTGAATCCGTCCGTACCAGGTAGACTTAGAACAACCAAGAAACACACACGAATAAACCGAATACCCTGCACGACGAATTCTCACATTTATTAATTAAAAAAAAACTTTTTTTCTACTTTTATACGTACGAAATATATTGAATAAAAAAGTTCGATTGATAAGATTAAATATTTGAATTATCCATAATAATTTCTGTATAAAGAGTGATAATAATACCCTTTATATAATTAACATTTTTACTTTATAATAAAATGTTAAAAAAAGGACATTTGAAAAAGGAAATTAATGTATAAGAATATATATTTTGAAGAGAAAATATTTTATATGTAAATAACTAACTTAAGCTTTTATCATAATCAAACGTATAGAGTTAAAAAATAGATTTTTTAATAATTATCAATTTTAAAAAGAACCAAGAAAAATATCAAGATTTTACCGAAAAAATACACCATAATTTTTAAAATAAAATGAAAATATTTATCGTAATATATGTATGAATGGATATTTTAAATATCTTAAATAGATTGATAAAAACATATTATACTAATACGATCAGCCTGACAAAGATATAAAAAGAAACGTAGAATGTATTTTTTATTTTTAAAATAAATGTTAATCATTGTTGGATCTATGTGATTCCACAGTGAAACCATCTATACAAAACCCACATGTATGATAGATAAGAGATAAGATACCGGATTGTGAGGTCACTTAGCCAGACTTGCAGGTCCAGCTAGACTTCCCAATCCAACCATCAGCAACATCATGACCTTGACCCCATACTCGAGTATTATGATTGATCGTTCAAGCCTGTTCTAACAATTATACTTTATACTAAATTCTTTAAATTACGCTTTCGTACGATAAAGTTATTTAAAAGAATGAAAATATATCAAGACCGGGGGTTTTAAAATATTTAACTTATATGTTATAAAAATGTGATATTTATTAAGTTTAAAATATTAAGAAAAAGTTTAATTATATATAACCGTTATATAAGTAGTAATTCAAGTATTAAAGTTTGAAAGAAAATTTATTCATATAAAACTAATATACGTGTTGGAACAGGCTTGAACGATCAATCATAATATTCGAGTATGGGGTCAAGGTCATGATGTTGCTGATGGTTGGATTGGGAAGTCTAGCTGGACCTGCAGGTTTGTCTAAGTGACCTCACAATCCGGTGTCTAATCTCTTATCTAATCATACATCTGGGTTCTGTATGGATGGTTTGACTGTGGAATCACACGGATCCAACACTTTCCGCCAATATTTGTCTCTAGGTATAGATTTGATTTCTTCACCAGCTCGAAACAAAGAGAGCTCTCAAGTTGATCTAATTCCATAGGGATCGCATATGTCCCATGTGAGATCTGAATGCGACAGTAAGAGCTACGGCCTCACGATGCGTACGTAAAGTTGGAGCCCCTGCAAGCGAGCCAAAAGTCCCGCACCACCTGGTTGGTGGCTCTTGCGCCTCGAAGACTAAGTCCAGAAAAAGTCAGTAAATCGTATGTGAGCACGGCGGAGTATCAATCATACCTCATCACTTTCTTCAGGAACAGGGCTTTCTCCCCGGTCGAGACCTTGTCACTGGGAAAAGCAGGGTCGTTTAGAGCCGCTTCCAGCCACTTCTGAGCGTGCACATGTTGCACAACCAGCTTCTTCAATGGGTCGCTGAGTTTGTCCAACTCGCTGCGTGATGCTCTCCCTCCGATGTTCTGCACCAAGCATTGACATAGCTGGGGCCCCAGATGGGACATCGCGATATTGAGCGTGGCCTGAGTATTCTGGTCGTCTGACTTGGCAGTGATGAACGTTGTCTATAAACTCGTGAGTTGAAGTTCCGTTGCTTGGCTACAGCAGAACGAACGTACCCAGAACTCGGTTGCTGCTGCCTTAGGGAGTGGCTCGCTCCCATTGAGAAGTTTGATAGCAAAGAGGAAGACGAACTCGAGCATGTCGGAAGCCTGAGACATGAGGATCTCTGGGTGTCTTGCCAAAACTCTCTGGGCAAATTCAATGCCATATTGCGATAGTTCAGGGTCGCTCTCGGGTTCTGGTGTGCCATTAGTCAAAGCCTGGCGCAGTGATCGAGAAGACGCCAATGCGATCCAGCCAAGGGTCTGCTTATCGGACACTTGAAAGCATTCCTCCTTGCTACTTTAGCCTACTTACCGGGGAGTTGGTGCAAAAGGTTGAAAACCCAAGGCAAGAGCTGTCCGAGAGTTGGTGCAATATGCTGCTTGTACCTCCCTGCGTTCAAAGAACTCACAAATGCACTGGCTGTGTTGACAACTGTAGCGACACGATTGTTCCAACTGCTGGTGATCAGCCCGGTCACCATTAGCGGTGGGAATACGAATGGCCCTGGTTCTGTTTCGGAGAGACCGGCGCGCAAGACAGCACAGATGACATCTACGACTTCACTGTTACCTGAGAACAGGTCTTTTAGGCGCATCAAGATGCCCTGCCAACCGTCAGCTTTGGGTACTCAAATCGAAGTAATCAAACAGTAAAGGCAACTTTGGTCGATTTGCTCACCATTATATCCACGTGGACCTGTTCGAGGTCTGTATTCCTAGCTGTTTGGATATCATCGTCCCCAGCATCCAGGTCCACGGGGGCTTGTAGTCCCTTTGCGATGCTCGCGAGACAACGAAGGGCGCGAATAGCTAACTGCAAGGATGTGTCATCTGCTAGTACTGGTGCTGTTGGGCGCTGAGAGACGTCGAAGGCTCGGGAAACCATCTGTGTTTGTTAGTGGTCCATCGCAGCGGTAAGGAGAAGAGATGCTGCTTCGTAGCCATTGTACTCACTGGGTCATCAGGATTGATCAGGGCACCAGCCTCGGAGGACTTCAGCCGCAGACTATTATCCACATCCACACCGACCAAGATCAGCAATCTTCGGATAGCATTTGATTTACTGGCTCCATCTGGAATCGTCTGTATGATAGAGGCGATGGCACCAACGACTCTTTCCTCGGCTAGAGAGTCAAATTCAGGATTACTCCGTAGGGAATCGTACTGCTCGAGGAAGGCGCCAACCTCAGAAGTCAATAAGGACCGGCAGGAAGAGCATAGGGTGTTGATCGACTTGGAGGAAGGGAGTGCTAGATGCCGATGACCCACGGCGCTGAAGAGTAAGTTCAAAGCGGCTGGCAGGAAGTCGGCATGTCGCACGAAGTAATCAGAATAACGTTCAATGAGGTACAGACATGTTTGCCTCGCTCGCATGGGCACGACATCCTGCCCCTGACGCAGCAGGTCGAACAATGCAGAGCCAAACACTTTCGTGAGTGCATCATCGTAAGAGGTACCTTCTGACGCACAGTCGGATAGGGCGCCTAGGCAGAAACAAGCAGCTTCGAGTTCTGTCCAAGCCGACTTGGCTAGAGCCTGCAGCACCAGATCTACGAAGAGCGAGATCAAGGGCATCCCTGAAATAGTATAAACGGACTGCAAGAAGTCTGCCACATCTTTCCGCGCGTCGCCGAAGCCAGCTTTCTCCGTGGAGTCCCAAGAGTTATATACACTCAGCGGTGGATACTGTATCTTCTGCCAGCTGTACGAGACAACTTGCATCACCTGTGACAAGGGCGGCTTGCCCCAAGGAAGGTTTTCGGTTGACTTGGAAAAGAGTGTGTCCACCAGGTTCTCGACGAATGCTGCCCAGAACTCCAGGGCTGGAACGAAGATCTTGTCATCGGCGGCGGGGTGCCCTTGTGCGGTCAAGAGTCCAGCCAAGCCAGCAAGAAAGCTTTGAGCTCTTGCATCGGTTGCGTCCATCATCTCGACCACTTGGGCATCGCCAAACGCCAACATGAATAATCCGAATTGAACAGAGTCAAACTCGAAATCACCCCCTACAAGATCATGATATCGTTGCTGGGCCCACGGGCTCTCAAAGAGAGCATAGAGGGAGTCGTAATGATCACGTGTAAAGAACTGCTGCCAATTTCCCAGGGTATCAGTGAGGAGCTCGACCGTAATCTCATATAAGTTATCCACAAGAAGGCAGCGTATCGTAGGTTGCACCAGTGCTTGGAGGTTCTGGATCAGAGGCTGCTTGAGAGTACGCTGGGCGTACACGAACCACGCCTGCAAGCAGTGGATTGCCTCCTTTTGGCTCTGTATACTCGTAGCGCCACCCACAGGCTTGAGAGCACTAGCCATTAAGGAGGCCACATCGTCGGCGTTGCCCAGAACGTGCTCGTGAAGACCAATGTGCTTGGTGGATTTTGTGTCAACCTTTTCTGTCTCTTCGGCTAGAGCGGCAGCAAACCAGCTGGCAGCAAGAAATTTCCGGGGTTCCAATGCCTGGACCAGGTGCTCGATGGGAGCAACGTCCCTAACGTCGTCGACCGGCACACTTGCGTTAAGATCCAGGCAGTGGATGATGTGGCGCACGCATTTCACCCAGGTGTGGGAGTAGTGAATAAAGTATGTGACGAGGGCAGAGCAGAGCTTCCTGACAACAACAGGACCCGAGCCGTCTTGGAGGGAGTTGATGAGCCAGGTGATTAAGGTCTGTAGCACAGATCTGGCATCATCATCGGGGAGTCTGCAAACAGAGGTTAGCACGTTGGCGTGAATGGGAGACGATGTTGGATACCTACCTTTCCGTGTTCAGCTTTACGATGATGGTCAAGGCTCCGAAGAACTTTATGTTGTCGCCAGGACGGGCAAGCAAGCCCTGGGCAAGCTGCCATCCTTGCGGTGACCTCTGCAGGCGCTGAAGGACGTCTTGAATATGAGTTATCCTGTCGGCAGGGTTCGGCTTGTACAGCTCATGGATTAACTGCTCAACCTCGGGCAGACTTGTAGGAACCTGTATGTTTTCCATGTTTGTGCTGATTCGCTGGCGGGTGCATCATCCATTTCCGATGTCGCGAAGCGGAAGGTGATTCGGATCGCTGTTGGCCTCGGGCTAGGGCTAGGGATGCGTAAAGTAGACCACCATCACCAGGTTTGCTGCAGTGAATGGAATGGGGAATGGAAACAACAGGTCGCAGCGATGAGTTCAACGCGATGTCTTGGCAGGACAACGGAAACAAGGAGCAATTTGGTCAACAATCAATGGCACAGCAATCAAACGGCGGGAAGGTGAGCATCGTATATAAACACATCGGGTGGGCTGAGTTCAATGTTCACGTCCATCCCACCAGCCCACATGCACCCACGCCGTTTTCGATTTTGATGGCGGGGCAGAGGGTCATTGTAGCCGGGTACTGCGGGCTCTATCAGCCAGCCGCGAAATAAACACCGATATTTGCTACGGCTGTCGGTAGTTGGAGCTGGACTACGACTTACAGACGTTAGAGAATCCACCCTAGAATACCTGAGCTCGATGCCCACTGGGCAGCTTCCCCTTCTGCTTTCGACACCTGCAGCTACACACTCACAGGAACCTCCTCACCTCGCTTGCTCGCCTGCCCTCACTTCAGTCTTCGGGAACTACCTCCTTAATGGGCGCCTTGTCATCGAAGTTGATGACATCCTCCTGCTCGTGATTGGACTGTCCACCGTGCACTGTCCACTGCTTCGAACCTGCTCGTCACTCCTGCAGCCTACGTGCGTACCTAGGTCCCTGACCACGCAACCCATCGGGCACTGAGTTGTGGTTGACATCTCCTGGGCTAAAGTGCGGTCGCCATATGTGCAGCGTGCCTACCCTACCCAACATATTTAAATACAAAGTGCCAGCGGCCGAATGCGCATCTTCTTTTCCTTCGCCGCATTGCCTGCGACTCCCCGAGTGGCATTTGCATCTACCCTCTACCGGACCAGCCTCGGCCCTCGATCGAACACCACCCAATTCGCCCCGAAACCCAAGTCACCGTCAACTATCCGTTTCCAAACCACCACGCCGTCTATCGATATGGAGAAGGTCAACACGACTGCTCGCTTGTCCGAGCTTCGGAAGCACATGGGCCAACACAAAGTCGATGTATACAGTAGGCTAGCCAATATATTCTGTCTCTCGAGTTCCCTGGCCTTGACAGCTGACTATCATGCTGTCAAGTCGTTCCGTCTGAAGACAGTCACTCGTCTGAGTACATCGCCCCTTGTGATGCTCGCCGTGCCTTTATTTCCGGCTTTGATGGCTCTGCCGGCTGCGCTGTCATCACCCTTGACAAAGCTGCCTTGGCCACAGACGGCCGCTACTTCAACCAAGCCTCTAAACAGCTCGACGAGAACTGGCTGTTGCTGAAGCAGGGACTCCAGGATGTCCCTACGTGGCAGGAGTGGTCTGCCGAGCAATCTGAAGGCGGCAAAGTCGTGGCTGTCGATCCCACCCTATTGACGAGCGGCACCGCTAAGAAGCTGTCCGAAAAGATCAAGAAGAGCGGTGGTAAGGAGCTTGCGCCAGTCTCGGAAAACCTGGTCGACTTGGTCTGGGGCTCGGAGAAACCGCCGCATCCCAGTGAACCAGTCATCGTCCTCAGCGGCAAATTCGCAGGCAGGGACGTGAAATCCAAACTCGCCGACCTCCGCAAGGAGCTAGAGAAGAAGAAATCGCTTGGATTCGTCGTCTCTATGCTTGACGAGATCGCCTGGCTCTTCAACCTGCGAGGAAACGATATTCCTTACAACCCAGTCTTCTTCTCATACGCTATTATCACCCCTGAAGAGGCTATACTCTACGTCGACTCGTCGAAACTGAGTACCGAATGTCAGAAGTATCTCGCCGACAATAGTGTTTCTATCAAGACGTATAAAGACATATTTAATGATGCCACTGCTCTTGGCAGGACAGCGAAAGCCAGCAAGCCGGAGTCTAGCAACGGCGAGAAATTTATGATCTCTAACAAGGCATCTTGGGCTCTCAAGCGGGCTCTTGGCGGCGAAGACATGGTTGAAGAAATGAGGAGCCCACTGGGAGATGCGAAGGCGGTCAAAAACGAGACCGAATTAGACGGCATGAGAGCCTGTCACGTGAGAGACGGTGCCGCTCTGATTGAGTACTTTGCCTGGCTTGAGTACCAGCTGATAGCGAAAGGGGCCCAGGTCGATGAAGTCGAGGGCGCCGACAAGCTTGAAGCTTGCCGTGCGAAACAAAAGGACTTCGTCGGCCTCTCCTTCCCTACCATCTCGTCGACTGGAGCCAAGTAAGTTCCCTTGACTACCTATGTTACTCTTGTCTCCTCAAAGCAACTGCTGATAACGCCGCCCCAGTGCGGCTGTCATCCACTATCAACCAGAAAGAGGAAACTGCTCAACGATCGACCCGAAAGCTGTTTATCTGTGCGACTCTGGAGCGCAATACCTGGATGGTACCACTGATACCACTCGAACGCTGCACTTTACCCAACCTACGGACGCTGAAATACAAGCCTACACTCTCGTCCTGAAGGGCAATATCGCATTGGACATGGCTGTCTTTCCTAAAGGGACAACCGGCTTTGCACTAGACGGTCTAGCTCGCCAGTTCTTATGGGTAAGTGTGTTTCAAATTTTGCCCTCGCATCATGGCTAATGCCCAGGCTCAGAAAGAAGGGCTTGATTACCGTCACGGCACCGGCCACGGCGTGGGATCGTACCTGAACGTCCATGAAGGCCCCATCGGCATTGGTACTAGGGTTCAGTTCTCGGAGGTGGCTCTATCACCTGGCAATGTCATCTCCAACGAGCCGGGCTTCTACGAAGACGGCTCGTACGGCATCCGTATCGAGAACATCGTTATGGTCAAGGAAGTGCAGACGAAGCACAAGTTTGGCGACAAGCCATACCTCGGCTTCGAGCATGTCACCATGGTGCCGTACTGCCGCAAGCTGATTGACGTCAACCTTTTGACAGACGACGAGAAGAGGTGGCTCAACAACTACAACGCCGACATCTTGGAGAAAACCAGGGTCTACTTCGAGGACGACAGGTTGACGATGGCTTGGCTCGAGCGCGAGACCCGGATTTTCTAGGTGAACAACTTGATGCACAACGTTGGGATTTACATACAGCCCCCGAAGCGAATGTCAAAACGCCTACGGACCATGTAGTGTACCTATTTATTTACTGCTGCATGCATGTCTAGAATTGCATAAACGCCGACATGGCAAAGAACATTCCGAATGACAGCTTGAATGCCGGATCCTTCTCCAAAGCGGCCAGTACGCGTGGATTTCCTAGCCGCTGCTTCAACCTCAGTTGCTGGACTATGTTGATGCCGTATCGCGACGCCACCTAATTAGAAATATCCATCAGACACCACTTGCCAACACTATTGAGGGACGATGCCTCAGCTTACCTGAACCACCACAACGGAAAGACCCAATAGAAGCACCAGCGTCCGCGAGAACACGCTCACAAGTAGTCCTGCTGCGAAACCTGCAGGCCACACACACTCGTCAGCACTCACCCACCCAGCCAGAGCTCCATAAACAAAACCCGCCTGCCCCCAAAACCATGCTCCCAACCCAACGAAACGAAGAAATAACAAGAAGAAATTCAAAATACAACATACCAGTAATACTACCCCCCGAAAGCTGCCTCATCAGCTCCGCGCTTAAAACCCCCTTCTCCGCATCCCGCTGCCCCTTTGCACCCAGAGAGTCCGTCGAGCTGAACGACGCGGCGTGCAATACGGTTCGAGAGTCGAACCGCAGCTTCGAGTTGCGCGAGAGCATCATGCCCGTGCCGAGCGAGAGGCCCAGGCCGGCGCCTAGGGCGTGGTGGGAATGGCGCGCGCCGGCGAGGGCGCGGGGGAGGAGGCGGGTGGTCATTGTGTGTTTTGGTTTGGATTGTAGGTAAGTGTGGGTTGTCGTGCTTGAGGTTAAGAGGCTTAGAAGCTTTGTTGTGAGTATCTTATTTTGGTGGTGAGGTTTGAAGCTCGGAGCTCGAGGCCGGGATGATGGATCCGCCTGACGTCACTGTATTACAGCGGTGCGGGTGCGCTGACTAACGGGCGGCTCCAGTGTCAGCGCGTTGGGACGCTCACCAGGAACTTTGACTTCCACCACGTTGGGTTCTAGAGGCTCCGTATGGAGCAATGTGAGGCATCCGAGGATGTTTCAGGCACCCAGGCAGTCAAGTCAGTCAGGCAGCTTGATGACACTGCACTTTACTTATATTTTGGTATTTTTTCATGCCTAATCCATTCTATACACTTGTGTTTTGCCGGTCGATACAACTTGGCTTTCTACTCGTGCTCGACTGCATTGGTTTAACACCCTATGCGATTCAATCGTCATGCCATGGTGTTATGGGAACCTGCGACTACTTTATCACATTGCAGTCTTCTAGGATCGCTTCTCTGCTTTTACGAAAAACGAGCTCGATCATTGGCAGCTGGAATGCTGTCGGGCACGACACCGGTAGGATTGCTCGGTCCTCCTGACGAATGGCGAAGAACAGAGCATGGCACTTGTGTCTGTTAAGGGACACATGTCGATTCATGTGGACGATAGGTTGCTCAGTGGCATTGAATGCAACAAGGGTATATTTCTGGAGAGAATTAAAGCCCCAGCTCGAACGAACTCGGCACACCTTTCTCGTCAAGTGTGACCAATACTCAACTTTCAAGCCCTTTATATCCGACGGTTCAGCTTGCTCACATGCAACGATTTCCCCAACGCCAGGCTGAGCCCCTTTCCTTCCTTCCAAATGCGAGAAAAACGCAACAGTGTAACTCCATCCGTGTTGCTGACTGACGTGGTGGTCTTCAGGTGATATGAAGGTCCAGCCACGGTCGTCGCAGACAATGTATTATATAGCGAATTGCCAGGAGACCGAGCTCACAAAGCCAGAGCGCAAAACTCGTTGATTCCCAAGCTCACGGCTCTTGACGAAGACCACCAGACAAGATGCGATAACATCTGACTGGCAGCCCAGACCAGTATCCGTCGCCTGGCTCGCTTAGCCAATACCGCCCCAGACGCCGCGGATGCGTCTGGCGAGCTGGATGTCCTGCTGCATGATGGTGACTCGTTTCGCGTGTATGGCGCACAGATTCGTGTCCTCAAACAGGTGGACAAGGAAGGCCTCGGCGGCCTCCTGCAGGGCCATGATAGCCTGCGACTGCCACCGCATGCCCTCGTTGATCGGGCGCACGTCGAGTGCAATCTCGCGAACCTACATTCGCCAACCCTGGTTAGCCACCTGCGCGAACGTATTTTGCAGTGTCTGCAGCAGGGGAAGTTGGAATGGGTAAGCTCACCAGTCTGGAGAAGGGTAGTTTCCGCAGCAGAAGGTCTGTGCTATTTTGCATTCTTCGGATCTCCCGTAGAGCGACGGTGCCGGGTCGGTATCTTCTCCTGCGCGGGTACGGGATGGGGTCGCCAGCTATGGTGCGCGTCGAGTCAGTCAATGCGATTCCAAGTATAGAGAGCGTTCTGTATGGGCCAGGAACAAAAACGTACGCATTACTCTTCCAGCACCACCAGCACCACCAGCACCTCCCCGTCCGCGGCCTCTTCCACGTCCGCGGCCCGACATCATGCTTCGGTTGATGCGACGAGCGGAGAGGCCAGTATGTGTTGAAGACGAGACTCGAACGGGCGAACTGGTTCAAGAAGTCAATGCGACAGTGCGACGAGGGAGAACAATTAATTGCCAAGTGACAGCGCCGAACAAGGAAGGGGGTATCTCGATGAATTGGGTGCGAAGGAAGATTGGATCCGGGTTGTTGCGACGGGAGGAAAGGCGGAGACTCGCGAAAAGAGAATGGATTATTCTCTTGACAAAGTGACTGGGCGAAGCATTTCTGAAAGAAAAGTAAGAAAGGAACAACGAGGGCGAAGACGGATGCGTGAAAGAAAACCCCTATCAAGGGCAATGTGGAAGGGCGCAAAAGTGCAGAAATGCAAGTGGCTGGTACATCGTCGCAATTGAACTCGGACGCGTGCAATGGTTACAGCGCTAGCACCCGCCCCGCGACGCGCCCGCCCAGCCATTTCAATTAAAACCCCTGTCGCTTTTCAGCCCCCATCCCCCCCTTGCTGCTAACAAAGTCCCCTTAGGTAGACAGCAAACCCCGTCAGGATGCAACCATGAAACCGCCTCATGATTCAGGAAGTATGTCGATAATAGCGACCTTGAGTCTTGTATGTAGGTATTCGAATGCGTATTAAAGTATCACCAGTCATGTCGCAGTATCGGTTGAGCAGGATTTTGGAAATATGTCTATTGTGACCACCTAAATAACTCGTACGATCATGTCTTCCCGTCGACACCCATTCAATCAACAATGCACATCGCAAATCCTCAACACTACCGTTGCCTCGAGGACGCCGAGGTCTTGTTCCTATCAATGCGCCGTCCGACTATATGAATGACTTCCCATCCGTTGAGCTCCGTTATCTCATTAGTTAAAAAGTCTATACCAGAATCGACGGCCCCCGTTTGGCACCAACCTGAAGCAAACAAGTATTATACAGCAATGTAGTCGAAAGGATCAAGGGTTAAGGGTTCTCGACCGCTCGGCTCGCCGTCACTGCTCACTCACGATGTACGTGAGCCCGAGGCAACCTGCTGGGGCACCGTCTCTACATAGGGAACGCAAGCAGATTTTTCTCCAAGCTGCAAGCACTCTCCTTCCCCCTAGGAATTGGCAGCGTCGCGGTTGCTCTGGGCGCTTGCGCTCATCGCAGGTTGCGTCGTTGGCAGCGAGTTCTTGGCCACCGCCTGCTGGCGTACCTTCGACCAAGCGTACACGATACCGGAGACGAAGCCGATCAAGATGGCCGAGACACTTCCCACCGTAACTGGCGCCGAGAAGAAAATGAGACCGCTGACGGCAATCGGGAGCTTGTTGAGAGCGCCGACCATCGAGTATGTAGTGGAAGAAGTGACACGGATGCACCACGCAGAGCAGTACGAGATGAAGATAGCTGCCATGCCCGAGTAGATCATACCGACGAAGAGGGCGTTTCGGGTCTCGGGTGGGAAGTTCTTGGCCAGGTTCTCGCTTGACCAGTCTTCGGCGATTAGGGAGCAGATGACGAGGACGGGGATCGTGAGGAGGTTGTTGTAGAACATGGCTGCACGGCGTTAGCAGTTGAATACCGCTTGGTCGATGATACAACTTACTGTCCCAGTCCTTGAAGTTCATGGTCTTGATGACCCTGCGCATACCCAACATGAAAGAGGCGGTGCAGAAGACGTTCAGTCCCATCCAGGCATACCCGGCGTTCAGTGTCGCGAGAGCCTCGGCAGCCTCGACAGTCTGACTGGCATGGCGAGTGTCTGCCCAGGCAGCGACAACGGAGCTGAGCACCATGAGACCAAAGGAAAGTAGCGCCAGAGGGGTAACGCTTCCTCCAAACCATAGAACCTCGCCATAGGCGATGACGATGATGGTCAGGTTCTTGAAGATGGTGTACACTGGAACCGAGAGGAATTGTAGCGACTTCGTGCTCGTGTAGATCATACCGACCAGGAGGAGGGAGATGGGGAACCCTGTTGTTCTGTTAGCCACTGCAGCTCGAATGGGCGTTCCCGAGTCGCATGTTGGTACATACATCTTCGGCCCTTGTTGATGTCAAAAGGAGCCAGGTTCTTGATCAAACCAGCCTGCTTGCAGACCTCAATGGTCACGATGCAAACGATAGACTACATCAGAATTGTCAGTGAGCTCCGGTCTGTCGTCACAAGCCAACATGGTTAGTCAGTCTTACCTGAACTGCAAGATAGAAGAAGTTCAGGTTCCACTCGGAGCCTGATACCACGTATTTGTTGACCACTGTCATGCTTATGGACGCCAGGCAGTAGGCGATGATGGCGGCGGCCGGGTTGTTCTCGATCTTGGCAAGCTGAAAGGAGCTCTGTTTATGTGGTATGGTCCGCGAAGGCCGTGTAATGAACGGCTCCTTCTCTGTGCCAAAAGGACTCCGCATACCCGAGTCGGGCATGCGAATGGTGTAGTCCTCGTTCTTCTTGTCCGACATGTTTGCGGCTGCGTTGGTTCAGTCGGAGCACAATCCACGACGGCCAGCGGGTTTGCGGTGGGGTTGACAGATTCGAGAGTCGAGTGCTCGGAGAAGGCCTCGATGGATAAGGGGAAGGAGACGCTCTGTCGATAAGGCGGAGTCGGGTCGAGTCGAGACAGTTCGCAGTTCGCACGCGTTGCGCAAGACGGCAAGCAGCAAGATCAAGGACAGAGAATGGAAACAACCCCAGATAGCCGGATGGTGAAGAGACGGATGGATGTCAGGCCGGATGCAATGAAGCACGAGACCAATTCACGAGGAAACGTGCAGCAACGAGTGTCGAAATGTCTCCCTGACAGGTGTGTGTGTTGGAAGATTTGATCAACCTTGAAGGGTAATTTGCCATTCACAGGAGCGGCATTGGACAACTGCATGAAAGGCCCCCGTGCCCCCTGGTGGGAATTGAAATGAGGCGTAGCCGGCTGCCCGCCACTCATCGGGCCATTCATTGAGATTGGCTCCCGGTGTAAAATTAGAACTTGATCCCCACTTTGGCCACCTGCATTGACCATGCAGCTATTGAGGTATGCATCAACCGCGGTTACCGGATTTAGAAGACACCACTTTCGAGACTCAAGTCAACTCAACAAGCTCATGCTTGATTTCACCCTGCTCGAGTATATATGAGGTCGTGTATCCTGACGTCCTCCTCGGGTCACATAGGGCTCCCTTCACCATCATCACCTATATCTGGACAGGAAGGCACGGATGATGTTTCTGTGGCTCTACAAAAGCAGGGAGATGCCATAAAGGGGTGCTACCATGACTGTCAACAAGGCAGACAGGCACTGGGTACATCAAGTTGATGAAACGATTTGGAATTCTTGGAGTGTACCACACTCATTAACGCCCTTTGTGAAGCTGTCCACTCCCCTCAATGTAATACAATGGCTATCTAGAACCAATATGGGTGACTGCCGGGGAATTCAGAGGTATCGGGTTCTTGCTGTCAGAAACGGCGCATCCATACCCCCTGACCCTCGGCCAACGCAGCTTCTAGTAGTAATCCTTTGTCGGCATCTCTTAAGGATCACCTTGTCGGTCTTAACCCCCTGCTGTCGAAACCCGTAGTCATATAGAGCATGTGCCGCGTCACTAGTATGGCCCTGTTGACTGATCATCTTCCCCAAGCCATAACGCCATACCGCAGGCTCAGTAGGTAGCCTCCGCGATCGAAGCGCACTCACTAAGCACCGGTCCCGGTGTCCTTTCCCGAACCCATATACACCACCTCACGTAGCCGGATCCTGCTCCTCGCCATTAGACCCCTCATCATCGTCCTCGCGGTCGCCGTGGTCCTCATGCTGCGGCGCGGCGGAGGAGGAGGCGGCGGCGGCCTGGTCCTCGGCGGCCGGGTAGTTCAGGTGCTTCCAGTCCTCGAGCTCCTCGGTGACGGAGCGCAGGCGGTCGCGGATGCTCTCGATTGCGTAACTACCGAGCACGAGACGCAGCGGCGGGTACGAGCAGTGGGCGAGCTGCCACACGAGCTCGGCGCACTTGACGGCGCTGGTGGGCTGGCGGTCGCCGAGCCACTGCACCATGCGCTTGGCGTGCAGCGCGGGGCTCGTCGCGTGCGCGTAGGCGTCGCTGGCCGGCTTGATGAGGAAGTGGCCCCAGGTCGGCAGCGGGTGGCTGTTGGCGCTCTGCGAGTCGGAGTCGGGCTCGTCGCGGCGCACCAGGCCCGGCTCGACCAGCGTCGCCTTCACATTAAAAGCGTCGATCTCGTACAGCATGGCCTCGATCAGGCCCTCGACCGCGTACTTGGTCGCGCAGTAGGGGCCCAGCCCCGGCACGCCGAGCGCGCCGCTCGTCGAGCTGAAGATCAGGTACCGCCCCGCGGCCTGGCGCCGGAAGTACGGCAGCGTCGCCTGGATGATGTGCAGCGTGCCCATGAAGTTGGTCTCGAACTGGTTGCGGATCTCGTGCTCATCCTGGTCCTCGCACGCGCCGATCACCCCGTACCCCGAGCAGTTGGCCACCACGTCGATGCGGCCAAAGTGCGCCAGCGTCCGCTCGACCACCGCCGTCACGCTCTGCCGCGCGCGCACGTCGCACAGCATCCCCAGGCAATTCTCGTGCTGGTTCGCCATCGACTCCGGGCTGCTCTCGAAGGTCCGGCCCACGTCCGTCACGTAATCACCCCTTCCTAGTGCGCACTTGACGAGTGAGCGGCCCATGTGGCCGGTCCCGCCGAAGACCTCGAGACTAAGTCAGCTACATGCATTTTCGGTCGCACCGGCTTGGACATATGGGATTCTTACTATCCATACGAGCTGCTTCCGCGGCGCGTTTGGTAGAGGTGGCTCGCAGCTCGCGGGCAAGAGCAGTTTCCCTCGGGGGACATTTAGGCTGCCCGGAGAAGTGGCAGCAGCGTCAGAGCCAGACGATTTAGAGTCCATAGTTGCTCAATTAACTCAATTAAGTGCCATCGTTTTGCGCCAAACGTTCGTCAGGGTGTCCTGCCGCATGCTCGGCGACGGCACCGAATCGACAAATATTGGTTTAGAGAAAGGGTCGTGAAGGCAGGATGTTTTGCAACATGTCGTCGATCTAGGTAGTAAACCATGACCCCGCAATAAAATAAGACTACCGGGCAGGTCCGAGCCAAATGCGGACACCCCAGAACCGGGCCGGCATTCATGAGCATGCCGGCCTCACGCCATCTTCAGCTGCGGTCTACCACTGAACCTAGGTACATGTACGCATATAGAGTTTCTTAACCCTCCTATGCGCTCACCATGTAACCCACTTTGAATTAAGGCGTTGTCTGCAAGTCAACAATTTGGAGTATTCTGAAGGGCTACGTTAGGTGATGACATGCGCCGGCTGCTCAGGACTGTCCAATCCTAAGAACGGAAGCTGGCTTGGACGAGAAAGTGCTATAAGCTTTTTAAATCCATAAAGTCGTAAAGAGGTTACAAGCAATGGCTGCGTGATCAGAGATGTCTTCCAAGACACCACACGTTGCGGAACCCATGTGCTTCACCAGGTGTGACCTCGTTCCCGTCCTCTACTTGCCAAACTGCGAAACATACGCCTTGCGGTGCTCGTTGGCATCCAACTCCTCCGACCGGTTTAGGGGAGTCCACTTGGGCTCGTCCTTGAAGAGGCGCATCGCTTGGACGAACTTCACAAGGGGATGTCAGTCTGCACATTCATTCAACAACCTTGACGACCATGGGAAACTCACGTTCTGCTCATCCGTCGTGAAGCGGTGGTAGATGCCCGCGGGCAAGATAATAAGGTCATCCTGCGAAGCGAGAACATCAGCCTCCACCATAGCCCCAACACAGTCCGCAGCGATCCATCATCCAAACCCGCTGACAGACAAAACTCACCTTCTCGAGCTGTATACGCACCCAGTCGTCCGCCCTGCCGCGGACGTCGAAGTAGCCCTGGCCGCCGCGGATGTAGCGTATCTCCTCGTCCTCGTGCAGGTGCTCATGAAAAAAGCCGCGGACCTTGTCCTCGTAGGTGGCGCCCATCTTGTCGGGCGACACGGTGATCTCGTCGCGGTTGCGGTAGCCGCGCTCGGCCGCCAGCGCGTCGACACCGCCCTGCTCCTCGATCCGGTGGTAGATCACGCCCAGCTTCTCCAATTCCGCGGCGTCCACGTTGCGGCCCGAGTCGTGCGGCAGGCGCTGGTCGCCCTGCGCGCGAGATGTGTGAGTGAGTGAATGAGTGGGTGGGTGGGTGAGAGGGCGCGTGACTGGTGGAGATGAGGGAGTCGCCGGTTTCGAATGAGTGTATTGGATGGGGATTCAGATACTTACGGGAGCGTTGTCGTACCAGTATGCTCTCATCTTCACGGATAGTAGTAGGTGGATTCGTACGTGGGCTCACTTAAGACAATGAAGGGATATCCAGTTTCAAGACCTTTGAAGCTAACAGACACTGATTGACTGTTCAAGAACCCAGATGCTAGCTTGATGTTAAATACTCCGTAGGTAGACAAGGCAAGATGGCCTGCTCTACTGTACAGGTGGCGCCGGTTATTTGCGAATAAGATATTGATTTCTAACCGACAACGAGAACGACCGATGACGTGACCCTCGGGGTCTGGCCTAAATTTTACCTGTACGGTGGTGGTGGGGTCAGGTTCCGTTTCCACCGGCCCGGCCACCAGTCTGGGAAGCTCATGTGTCGCCAGATGGCCAGATACCGCAATAATGTCGCCGCCTACGAGGAGTAGCCCTTCTTACCTACCTTATGTATGCACTACTTGGATGTATTTCTTGATAAGGCTGCATCATCAGGTTCGGGCTACTAAGCAAGTTAAACGAGCTTGTCTACGCGTGAACTATTGGAAATGTTTGACCGGCGTATTACCAGGAACTCTGGCGCGTATATCAAGTCTGGTCCATACAGGTAATGCCGCTTTGATAAGGGACGCTGTCTGTCAAGATTGACCATGTTAACATTGACGATAGCCTCACTCTTGTGATGCGTCCAGCCAACCTGAACTCGATAACGCCGTTCTCCCTTATGCCGCATGCTTGCAGGATCCTAACACCAACCACTGAACCAACGCCGCAAATGAGGGTATGAATCTAGGAGAGTCGTAACTGAGTCGAACACGTAATCATCGCACATCCGCTGCAGCGAGCTCTGGCCCTCCGGCTACAGCGAACTCGTGGTTGACGTCATCTGCCGTCTCTTCCCTTTGTCTACCCTCGAACAACCGGCGCCAAAACATCGGGGGGTCCAGTGGCCGAGAGCCATTGTGCATCGGGGGGTACACGTCGGTAAAGAAGTACCAGATGTGGCCAATGATGACTCCCATCAGCTCATCCTTGGGTATCGTCCCGTGCATAACAAGACTGAATCCCATCAGCACCCAGGGCAGGTAGGGCGCAGTGAAGACCAGCAGGCCCAGGAAGCTGAGTCGCGTGTCGGGGTTCCGTCGCGACCAGATGTAGACCAGTGTCGACGACAGCGGATGGCCGAGGAACGGCATGGACACCATTGGCGAGAGTACTAGGAGGAATGCCATAGAGTAGACGAGTAGCCACGAGAAGTGGGCGGGCGATCGGCCGGATGATTCCTCGAGGAGACGGGCATAGCGCTGGAGGAAGTATACGTGGAAGAGAAGATCGAGCGAGAAGGGTCCGAAGTAGAGGAAGGTCGTCAACAGGCGCCAATACTGTATCCGCAGCCGTGTCAGCACGCCGCGTGTTACATGACCTGATGGCAGTTTAAAGTTTGATCAGATCTTACCTGTGCTTTGTGGAAGACGGTCCGGACGCTGTAGAATAGCTGGAACGGGCCGACAATATGGCATTGGACCAGGGCGCTCGTCAGGACGGTGGCGGTGGTCCACCATCTGGTGCATATGGGCATCTCCCAGAACCAAGCCTCGAGCGGGTTGCGGCCGCCATCGCCGATCATTTGGTCCATGACTGCGGGATTCGTGGGTGCAGGTGGTAGAGGGTCTACGTAGTAGATTAGTGCTGCACTGCCGATGTCTTTAAGTATGTACAAAGGCACAAAGGAGGATTATTACGGATCAGAGGAGAGGTGAGTCGACTGGGAGGTTGAAGGTTGAAGGTTGCAGTGTACAAGTAGAAGCTGTTGGAGCGGGAGCGAGGTGCGGTGCCGGTGTCGAGAAGTCCTCTCAGCCCAGGTTCCGGCGCTAAATCTGGCCTTATCGGAATCCCGGGTATCAATGGATTATGGCGTGGATTCACCACCTGGGCGCTGGCTGACAGGCGTCACAAGCCCCTATCATACACATGCATGTAAAGGGGCGGGCAGCCGACAAGCGCGGGAGTGTCTTGCACCCGAGTAGATGATAGTAAATACAGAAGGGGCTTATTCTGACTCGGTTGACTACGTTTCTAAGTTCGTAAAGGAGGGGGTTGTGCCTCGTACCTAAGCATTTGGATCATGACCGTTTCTCTTCAGTATTGACGGAACACGAGGCTTGATTCCATACCTGCCATAACTGCCTGGCAACGATACACTGACTTGTACGGCAGTCGAGACCAATGGAACTAGACAAAGACGTATGCACCTGAGTAATCGATAAAGAATACCAACTGGACTATTCTGCCCAGACAATGAGTCAGTGTCAGGCCAGATCTGCTGGGCGTCAAGAAATCACATTCTACTGTAGAAAGGTAGAACGAACGGATGATTGTATGAGCTTGGAAATGAGTAAACATGCAACTATTGGAGCTTATCGGTCTATGCAGCGTTTGAAGATGCACTGGAACGGCCACATGCCACATGCCACTTCCCGCTGGCACATGCCGCCAGGTGCTGGGTCCCACTTGGTAGGACAGGCAAGTAGGCAAGCTTGATGCCTTGGCCCCTTGAGAGGGCTTGAATGGGTCGGGTCCATTGGATCTCCCCAGTTCTCCCCAGGGGCCCCAGACGTCATAAATTCACCCTCGGCCGCCGGTTCCTAGTTTGACGATGCAGTCCTGGGTTGTTTTCCGTTCTTTGTCCCACAATCCAATCGTTCGGACTCAGGGAATCTACCAGAAACGATCTATGCGCTATGTCTTGTCCAGACCCGACCATATCTTGACGTCTTTCCTGCCTCCCATTCCTCGTCTGGTCTGTTCCTACAAGGGGCTGTCCCAGCTCCTCCAAACACAAGATGCTACCCTACATCAACAAACGTACGGACCCTGCGAACCTAATGTATCATCTTCAGCGCTGATGTACTTTAAGCTTTCGAGTTACTCTCTGGAGCCATCGGCGCTTCTCCAGACGAGCGTAAGCTCCCGCGAACCGTCCGTTCTGCGCGCTTCCTCGCGACTAATCTTCAATCACAGTCAAACTCATTTTCTCCTTCCTACTCTCCTATCCGCTCGCCGCCCTCCTGAAGCGAGTTCCTGACGCCCGCCCGCAATACAAGAACCTCTTCATCATAAGGTACGACTACGTCCGCATTGTCTGCCATCGTAAGCTCTGACAACAAAAGACTGACTTGTCTGGCCTCTGTAGTGGTGGTCTTTTCTACCTAGTGGGCCTCTACTCGTTATGGGCCGGCGTTCGAAGCATCATCATCTCCTCCGGCGTCACCTACGCTCTCGCGCACTACCTACGAACGTCCCCATATATGCCATGGATCGCCTTTGTCTTTCTGATGGGCCACATGGCTACGAACCAGCTTGCGCGCCAATTTGCCGGGGACCCCTCCTCCGTTGATATTACCGGCGTACAGATGGTGCTCCTGATGAAGCTGTCAGCTTTTGCTTGGAACGTAGCCGATGGGGCGCTGCCCGAGGACCAGCTCAGTGATTTCCAGAAAGACCGCAGAATTCCCCAGCTGCCAAGCTTGTTGGACTTTGCCGGATACGTGCTGTTCTTCCCCTCGCTGATGGCGGGCCCGTCGTTCGACTACAACGAGTATAGAGGGTGGATCGACTGCTCCATGTTCGATGTGCCCGCAACCGTCGACCCAGCGAAGAAGCCTCCAACAAGGAAGAAGCGCAAGATCCCCAGGAGCGGTACTCCTGCGATGTGGAAGCTGGCCAGTGGTCTCTTCTGGATCTTCCTTTTCTTGAACTGCAACAAGTGGTGGAGTTCCGACGTGCTCTTCAGCGACCGCTTCATGACCTACAACTTTCTACACCGGGTCTTCATCATGCATATGGTTGGCTTCACGGCTCGGCTGAAGTACTATGGTGTGTGGTTCATGGCAGAAGGCTCTTGTATCCTTGCTGGCCTGGGCTATGATGGCGTAGACCCTGCTACGGGTAAGGTCTCGTGGAACAGGCTGCAGAACATCAATCCATGGGGCGTCGAGACTGCACAGAACAGTCGTGCGTATCTGGGAAACTGGAACATGAACACCAACAAATGGCTACGCTACTACGTGTACCTGCGCGTGACGCCGAGAAATAGGAAGCCTGGTTTCCGCGCGAGTCTGGCCACGTTCGTTACCAGCGCCTTCTGGCATGGGTTCTACCCAGGATACTACCTCTCCTTTATACTGGCCAGCTTCGTCCAGACTGCCGCAAAGCGTAAGTTGATCGATCAGTCTCGCTCATTTTCTCTTTCCGGTCCAGAAACTAACAAGAAATCCCAGATTACCGTCGAAACGTGCGCCCCTTCTTTCTGGACCCCGTCACGCAGGAGCCGCTACCGAGCAAGAAATACTACGATATCGCCTCTTGGGTCGCGACGCAGGCTATCTTCTCTTTCACCGTTGCGCCCTTTGTCATTCTGCGACTCGACCAGTCTCTCACCGCCTGGTCGCGAGTCTACTTCTACGCCATCATCGCCACCGGTACGAGCTTGGCCTTCTTCAATTCCCCAGGAAAGGCCTATCTGCGTGCTCAGCTCGAGAAGCGCACGAGAGAAACTGGCGCGCAAATGATTCACGACGCTGGGGGTGCATCGCGTCAGGAGCCGATGCAACTGGGTCTTAGTTCGGATCCTGGTCAAGATATAGACGAGGCTATCCAGGAGATGCGCGAAGAGGTGGCGAAGGCGCAGGCGAAGAAGAAGGAGTACGACCTGAAGAGGGCAGACCAAGGGAAGAAGAAGTTGTGAGTTGAGGGAAGTCGCATCGGAGAGAATGGGTGGTTCCAAAGCCAGCCCTCTCAGTTCTCAGTGGATGTCAAGCTCGTTCCATTCGAGAATCATGAAACATATGAGTTGAAGCAAAATCCAAAGCTCACGCACGCTCTTTATGTGGCGCTTGACACTGATGATTCGCGGACTTGTGTCCCCCGGGGATCCTGTAGTCACAAGTTGCACCACATATAGGGGATGTCAGCACCGCAAACATCGGTAGCATGGACGATCTCCGTAGCTGTGCTAAGAGATCAAGTGAAAACGCTTGATCAAAGCAGTGGAATTGATAATCACAACGCAATTTCAAACATGTCAAGTGGTCTACACCTCAAGTGAAATTGTAGAATGGTATCAAATTCATCGCTAGGCAATACGCTGAAGCGCTATTTATCCTGCAAGGTTCTCGACGTGAATTACAATTTGAATTCCAAGGCGTCGTAGCTGGCACTGCCACATCACAATCCCCCTCTCTGCTGCCTCGAGTGAGGTGAGTATGGGGGAAGGCGGAGGCCAGTAGTGCAGCTCGCCCAGCTCACATCCACTCTTCAACATCATTCTTGGAGGGGCTGTCACAAGCCGCCGCGACTCTTCTTCGTGGGAGTCCTTTATTGAGTCAGGTCCTCGCTTACAAGCGCTAACACGTCCGACTCCCAGCTGGTAAAAAAAGTGGGAAAGAAAGGATCCCAAGCAAACGCAGGAGCAGGCATATAAGGCAAGCATTGCGACCGAAAATTGGGGGGTATATCGTTATTCGTATGTTGCGTTGCGCCTTTCTTGTGATTCTGATGATGATCGTGACGGCCCCCGTTTCGGGCTTCGTTTCGATTGTCGTTCCGTTCTATCCGTTACACAAGATTATACAGAGGAATGATTGAAAATGCAGATAAAAAGATGTTGGTAAGGTAAAGGTTTCCATGATGTACAGATGTCGAAATCGAACAGGCCGACGGGCGAAGGTAAGGTTGTCGAATACGTATGTGGTATGCGAAGAGTTGGTAGTTGTAGGAAAGAAACTCGTAGGTAACATCTCGTCTCAAGGGCGTAAGGTGGCGTAGATACGTGAGCTGACGTGGATATCGCGGGGTCTGGTGCCGTTCCGGAACGGATGAGAAAAGTCTATGTCGGTAATAAGGAGAAGCCGGTGGCTCGTCAGATTCATCATTAAAGAGGAAATTGTAGTTCGTCGATCATTCCGTAAAAGTGGAAGGAGAGAAACATTAAAGTTATTAGGCGTAAGGTGGTTCGAGAGAGCGTGAGGGATGTGAAGGTCCCGTATTACGTGATTTTGTGAAGTGGCTCTGCGTTCAGTCACCAATTTTGTCTGAGGCCGATCACCACGAGAGCGGCGACGGCGCCTAGGAGGAGAAGGCCGACAATAGACATGAAGCGGTTGAGATTCCTCCACCACCGCGCGCTTTGAAAACGCGAGTCGTCCATTGGCCCGACTCGTGTATTCAACGACTCCGGATCAGCTTCTTCGGGTGTGCGGAAAGTCGTGGTGCTTCTGTCTCGTTGTTGCATTTCGACCATTGGTTTGGGGGGCAGTGGGAGGAAGGCAGCGATCATCCAGGCTAACGCACGACACATTAGCAGCTGCCATCATAAGCCTGGGTTATTGCCAGAAGTGAGACTTACCGAAGGGGATTCCGAATCCCAATATGAACAGAACCACCTGGATATTGCGCTTGCCAAACATGCCGCTTTCCGCCGACCAGCTAACTGATGGCGCTTCCCAGATGCTATAGCGAGTAGCTCTCCGGTCCATGCGAAGATGGGGGGACCAGATACTGGATGTCATCCGCTTGGGGGCCCGCCGGATATCTCCAATGCCGGCTGATGTGATCTCCATCGAATCTGGCCGGTGGCGGCCGTCATGTACCTCTTGAGGACGATGCCGTGGGTTATGAATATTACTGGCGACGTCGTCCAGAGACGGGGAACCGCTTGCCGCCCACGAGCTTCCTGGTCGACTTTCGCCTCCTTCGGATCTCATCGACGGTGCTGCTAGCCAACGTCTTTCGCCACTGCCATAATATAGTCTAAGTAGATGTTAGTATGCTATATTGACCGGAGACCGTTGCCATGACGTCGGCTTACCTTGCCCATGCTGGGATAGAGGTGTGAATACTTCCAGAACGCGAGCTGGCTGACGAACGCAAGCTTCTGTTGGATGATTGGCGTGAGGAAAATCCCAGACGGCTCCTGGACGACTTGTTCTGTAGCTGATGCAGGTGCTGAAGGTCTGCAAGTCCATCGCCGTGTTCGTCAACATCTCTCACCGTGCGCAGTGGCGGGCTCGGAAGCTCTCGCGCGCCTCTCGCGAAAACGGGTGCTGGTCTTTCTAAGGAATCGGATCGAGAGTTCGATCTCGAATGCGATTGTGATGGCTCCAGGTTTTCGAGTATCGAGGACGAAATACTCCGTATTTGCCTGCTATTCCGGCTCCCGCGGGCGCTACTACTTCTGTCCGGCAACGAACCGATCGAGATAACCCGCGAACTGCGTTCGGTCCCCTCGTATTCGGACGGCACTGTGGACAGCTGTGAACTCCATTGATGTGTATCCATCAGTGCCCTGCTTGTTCCGACACTTGACGGTCTTGACGGTCCTGCCCATGAAGTTTGCGGTATCGACGAGATTGAGGCCGTGCTATGGAACCGCACGATATTCGGGGTGTCCTGGCTGACGATGCTCGATATGGAAGAAAACGAGTCCGCGCGTCCTCGAAGAGAGTCTCGCGAATTCTGCTTATAATGGCCAAACCTCTCGGACAACGGTCTTTTTCGCGCTTCGAGTGGAGCTATCACAAGACTCTCCTGCGAGTACTTTGCTAATATCTCGTGAAGACTGTCGTCGGATGAATAGCGTCGAGGTCGACGGGCGAAGGCATATACTGAGGACGAAGCGGACGGATTGCCGTGAACAACGAAATTTCTGCTACCTGGGGTGTCAACGTCGGAGTAGCCAATAAGGTCTTGACTCTGTGGAGTATCGATATCGCTGTAGGCTATGAAGTTTCGGCTTCTGGGTGTATCGATGTTGCGGTGCACTATGAAGTTTTTGCTTCCCGGTGTGTCGATGTCGCTTGGGACAGCAAAATTTTGACTTGATGGTGTGTCAACGGATCCCTGCGGGCGAGGAGGAGATGAGACGAAAGGTTTAGGCGGAGAAGACCGTCCCAGAAGTTTGTAGTTTGGGCTGCTTGACGACGGAGGTGCGTAGATGCTGTCGGAATCTGGTAGAGGTGGGGAACTGCGGCCAAGTACTTTGTAATTAGTAGTCTCCTCAACGGTCGACGCGCTTAGTTCGGAACTGAAGGACGACTTCGTTGCTACCACGTGGGACGGTTCGGTCTTTGGTGGTGTGGTTGGCGCCTCTGGTAGTGGTGGTAGTGGTCGTGTTGCGACTTCCTTGCCCTTGCCTTTGTTCTTCAAATCAGGCGTCCTCGGAACCTTGCGTAGGCCACCGATTAGGCGATAGTTCTCGGGCGAAGAGGTGATATGATCTTCAGGTAACTCTGTGGAGGCGGTGGGAGAAGCTGGTGTGGAAGACGAGACACTGCGCTCGGCGACTGAGCTCAACGGAGAGCTGTGAAGATCTTCAATTGGCGCATCAAACGAAATACGTTCATGCGAGCTGACTGTAGAGGTGTTGGAGAGCGGAGGTTGACTCAAGCTCGATTCGGACCTGTCGGAGTAGCGTGCGTGCACTGGCTTCAACACCACAGAAAAGGTCTTGTCGGAATGGACGTTGATGTCTCGTCTGTACTTGGATTTCCTCCAGGTCGGCGAAGCAGGCGAAGCTGGGTCGTCCTCATGGCGGCGAGATTGCCGTGTCGGCGCATTGATGCGTCTAATATTGCTGCCGTATGAGGCCTTGCTAAGAACAGGGGCTGCTGGTGGGGCGGTACACTCAGCACCAGACGAGTCGGAAGACGGTTTCGATGCTGAAACACGGCTGCCCTGGACCCTTGCCGACGGGCTCGCGGGCGACGAAGGTGATAAGGTTGACGAAGGCGACCATGATGTGAACCCTTGGTAGCCCTCCTTTCCGTAGGGTGTGAGTCCGGTCGAGGCGCTGCCGCTTGGGTTGATGGCCGTATGATGGGCGCCATCGTTCCCAGCTTCCGCTTCTCGCGCATGTGAGTCGCCCGCCTCGACCTCGTCGAGCCTGGGAGGGGTATAAGGGACGACGCGGATTTGCAGCTTATTCTTCTCCGAGTTTGATCTCTCGTGCAACGGTGACCTTTGCGAGTGAGATGACGAGGACGATGTCGACGATGACATCCTCTGCCGCAGACCCCGCCCGGAGCTGCGGTAATCGGCCGCACTGATTGGAAGTTCCCTCCAGCGACTATGAGCTTGTCATGACCACGGCCATTGCCATCCGGGTGAAGGAGCAAACTGTTGGTAAGGCTGAGAAGCATGAAAAAACGTAATTGATGTGCCTCCAGGCTCTGTGAGCAATGACCAAGTTGGTGTGGAGTCGATGAGATTCGGACAGATCGTGACGGGGGTCGGCCTCGGAATTCGAGTTGACAGTAGATACTGTGTGTGAAATAAGGAAACAAGAAAAGAGGAGAAATAGAAGAGTCGTTGGACGTGTAGAGAGCGAGGGCCAAGAGGCTCAATATAATATCAGTAACAGAGAAGACCGACAAGGAGTAGTGATCATTCGCATGACCGACTATAGGTATCGGGTGGAATAGAAGTTTGGAAAGTGTGTGACAGCTTCGATACGGGAAGCTGGATGAAAGGAACGACAGCTATATTCCGATGTCAAGGGTCACACACCACTCGCGGGGGGGTCCAAGGAGAGAGAGAAAATGAAAGAGAGTAGCGAAGCTGTCAGGACTGACAGTCGGGCCCGTGGGAGGTATGACTTCTTGAATTACCGCGACGCAGTACATTCTGATCGATTGGCTGGCAATCCAAGGCGACGTATTCTATGGCGGCGGCTGGGCTGCCATGGACTCCCATGCAGGCCAAAGGAGCTCCCAGGTCGTAACGGGACAAGGCCGAAAGATAGCGGCAGGAGTGGGCACGAAGCATGAACAGGGACTGAGCTCGCAGCAGCGGTACCAAGCTTCGACGGCCAGGAATGGCATCTGATTATCTGGAGAGGCTGAGATACTGAGATGACAGGGGCCACGAGGGCATCGCACAAGTACCGTACAGTGTACCACTCGACTAGTAGTCGGCGCGTACCTCTCGCTCGCACGTTGCACCAGCGATGATGGGCGATGAAGCTTCCGAATTTCGAAGGGCCATAGCGAGTGACACCTCGCATCCCACGGTACACCGCTGGATGGCGCGGACATTCATGTACCAGTCAATAACGATGTGCACGAACGGCCCACTGAGACGGCCGTGGGCTGTTTTGCTCTTTGTCAGAGGGGAGATTGTGAGGATTCCAGTTGGCCGGAGCTGGATCCCTCCTGCAGTGTGTATGCAGGTTTACTGCAAGGCCTGGGAATAGGTTGAAATGAGGTTGAAACTTGACAGGTGACTGAGCAGAGAAGACGAATAGTGGATACGTGACATGGCGTCGAGAGGATCTTCTGAGCTATGAAAGGAACCGTTCAACCGTTCAACCGTTCGAGCGGTAGACTACTGTACGGACTCGGATACGCGATGCCCTGAGCCAACGGACAAGCGACTTCATCATCGTGAAACTTCATCAGGTAGACGAACGAGTCAAGGCCGGTTCCAACAACGTCCTCCAGCGGGAGCCAGTTGTATCTAGCGACCGTTGCGTAGACGAATGAAAGCCGCGTACTACTCATGGCCCTGCATAAGTTCGACTTTTCGACTTCATGTTGCGGCAGAAGCAGTTCAAGCCGGGGCCTCAGAGCACGAAGCTTTGGAGAGGGGTATAGAACTGACTCGCATTTTCCCCTGATGGCGAGAGGGCTAGACGCGGAAGCGAGGTCTTGCTCTCGGCTTTCGCTGCCGGAAGAACTCAGTGTACATTCGAGGAAAACCGGTGCGCCCGAGTGGGTGAGTAGAACTTGATTTGTATAATTCTGCTCCTTCACCGTTGTGATGTGCTTGGCTGACCTGGTGCGACAGAATGGAATGCCAACAAGATGAGACGACATTCGGAGCGGCCTACTGTGACAATCGTGGAAGCTAGTGGCAGTTGGAAGCGGCGGAATCCAAGGGCACGGCACATGGAAACTTGAAAGATCGGTGTAGAGATGCGAAATTGGATGATGAGGTTGTGGATTCAAGATCTCCTGGCGTCCCGGTCTTGGGCCTGGGAGGAGCTGAGGCTGGGAGGAAGAGTGGAGAGACATGGGGCCCAACCTTGAACCGAAAGCTCCGAACCCGTCCCCAGCCTCCAGGTCTTGCCCACTGCCCAGGGGCCAGTGCGCACCTGTCCGTCGATTACAGGGGCAAGGTCAGGGCTTGTCAGGGGAACTCAGGTACCATCGCCAGGGGCTATCAGGGGGGGCCATGGACTTCCATTTTTGCAGGCGAAAGGGGGGAAGTGGAAAGGCCCACGAATCAATGGCCGACCGTCCTTTTGGCTTGCTGGCCTAGTTTGACCCGCCCTACCACGACACGTCGCAGCTCCCAGCCACAACGCGGGCAATTTTTTCGCATGCAAGATAGACGCGTTCTTTCGCGTTATAAAAGTAGGTCCTTGTGTTCATACACAACCTTAGGCGAGACAGAGCACCATGTCGTCGATCACCCAACTGATCACTGGGTATGTTACACACTCCTACGTTCGTCAGGTGCTTCTTGACCTTTTGATGCAGTCTTCTGGAATTCTTCAATTTACCTAATGACGGGAGAAATTCAACAGGTTTGTGTATCGCTGCTGGCTGCTTGTGTCTGCTTTGAGATGGAGCCCAAAAGTGCAGACGCCGGCGCCGCCCCTCTCTCTCCACTGCACCCAGCAGAACCTTCAGACGCTCACCTGGCAGCCTGGGTATTCCCGTCCAGACATCAACACGCATTCTATTTATTTATAATCGGACGAGGGTCTCATGCACTTGCATGGAGAGGGCTGTCTGCTCTCTGCTGGAGTCGGTCATAAGCGCGGCGTCCCTTTCCACTGCCAGGTCTGACGCAACCTCACTTTGACACAGCGCCTGTCTTGCCCCAGGCCACAGGCCCCTGGTCTCTGCTGTAAGCTGCACGCACGCGTTTAGATGCATACCTACGTGTATGCAAAGCGCTTATCCCAGCTCAAGCGCCCACGAGGCGTCTCAAATCATTGTCATCCTTTTCAGTTCTTCAACAGCCGATCACCAGATCGGAATCCGGAAGTCCAGGATCACCCTGGGTGACGCGGTACACGGCGAGGGAACTTGAAGTCAAAGTGGGATATACTCCCCACCTTTCGGTTTGACTGCTCACGCCTATCAAACCGATACGGGCACGATCCAGAGTCAAATCCCAGACCATCTCTAAAAGGTGGCTGGGTTGCTGTCGCATATTCACGATGCCTTCCATAGCAGGCTTCGTGTCTCGCTATTTCAGCAAGGAGCAGCGCAAGTAGTACCGCCTGCTGGCCGCGTCGTGCAACTGAACTGACCATGTTAGCGAAACCACCGCCAATCAGCACCGCCACTGCCGCCGCCCTGCTGGTGAGTGCATCCAGATGCAGCCTCTGGCATGTGCCCAGGCCATCCCGCCGATATTGACTGGTCCGCAGGTCATCTACACGCTCATCTACGTGGTGCCATTCTACCTGTCGTCCACGACGCGGCCCTCCAGGACGCTGTCGCGGGATGCGCCGTCGGTCATCCGGGCGCGCATCACCTCCGTCTCTCTGACTTGCGTCGTCTGCTCCAACATCACCGTCGTCATCCTCACGTGGCAGGGCCAGGCCACATATGGAGAGGCATTCCACACCATGGGCTACTGGCCCGTCGGCCTGCCGGAGACGGGGAAGTGCCTTCTCCTCACCGCGATCCTCTTCAGCGGCCCGTTGTACGAGACCCTGATCGACCACAGGGCGTGGCGGGACTGGTTGAGCATGCAGCCCATGAAGGAGCTCTTCAGCGAATGGACCATGTTGCGTAATATCATCGCCGTGAGTTGACCCAACCGACCTTCTATCAGACGAAAACACACGAAGAACCACACATACACGCATCTTACGATGTCAACACTGACACACTATGCGCAGGGCCCGCTCACAGAAGAGGTGCTCTTCCGCTCGGCGTCGGTGCCGCTGATGCTGGTGGCGCGGACGTCGGTAACGCGCACCATCTTCCTCTCGCCCATCATCTTCGGGCTCGCGCACGTGCACCACTTCTACGAGTTCCGGCTCACGCACCCGCAGGTGCCCGCCGCGGCCGGCGTCGTGCGCTCGCTCGTGCAGTTCGCCTACACGTCGCTGTTCGGCGCCTACGCCACCTTCCTGTACCTGCGCTCCGGCAGCCTGCTGGCCATCTTCGCCGTGCATGCCTTCTGCAACGTCATGGGCCTGCCGCGCTTCTGGGGCCGCGTCGAGCCCGCCCTTAGTGGTGACGACGTCTTCCGCAGTGGCGCCACTGAGATCGACAGGAAGATCAGGGCTGCTGCTGCCGCGGCCAGGACGCCGTCGGTCGCCTGGTCCGTCGTCTACTACGTCCTCCTCGTCGGGGGTGCCGTCGGCTGGTGGAGGAACCTGGGCGCGCTGACCGAGAGCGCTAATGCCCTGGTCCCAATCGACATCTGAGTACCTTACCAGGTAGACTCTGTCCTCGGTAATAGACGTCAGATCTGTACATCTACTCCAGGATGACGGATGTTGGGGAACGCGTGCTAGGATATTACTACTGCTAGTACAGGAATAAGCGTGCGCGCATCAGGAAATCAATACTAGCAATACCTGATTCGTAACCACAATCACTCATTTCTGCTCTCGGGGAAATGAAGCTTTCTTATGCGTGGAGTGGTGATTATTTTACTATTATTGTTGGACTGTTCACGATCTAGCACGCCTCCGGGGCCAGCTCTTGGCCAGTGTTGCGCGCCTAGTTCCACAGCCTCACCTGAAGGCAGGCAAGCTAGTAGGTAGCCTTGCTCATCTCCGGATCAGCCTTCTCGGCCATGCCGGGTTTCACCTCATGGAGATCACGAATGCGCTGTCGAGTACCGTGCTTATTTCCATTTCCCCATGGCGGATCTCCAGCGAATCTCTTTACCAGACCATAGGTAGTGACCTTTGAAGCGCACCGGAGGTACTTACGAACCGATGGCGGGATGATGCCAGTAGATTTTTAGGCAGGTAGCCACTTCGCGCATCCCGACTTAATCTTGGGGATAGAACGTGCATGAACTCGTTCTCCGAGAAATCCGAGGATCATCGTCATGGTCGTCGAGATTTCCAAAAGTGACGATCGCCTCGATGCTCAGGTCTGTAGATCCAGCCCCAGGCCGGGTAGGCTCCCTGGCATGCTGAAGGTCCCTGTGCCCGTGCCGTCGTCTCTGCCACGGCTGCGCCTGAACCTGAGATTCTCCGGGCTCATCTCGCGCCGAGCGCCCGCCGGGTCGGCCTCGACCTCCTTGCGCGCCTCGGCGCGCAGGTCCTTGGCGACCTCGCGGCCCTTGCCCTTGCCCATGCTCATGCTGCCCGAGGAGGCGATGCCGTCGAGGCCCTCGTCGCCGCCGCGCGTGTTCTTCTTCCTAGGCCACAGGCTCGGCAGGGCGATCTCCTGGAAGCGCGGCTCGACGGCGCGCTCGTCGAACCAGCGGTGCAGGCGGTGCTCGACGAGCTGCGCGATCTTGGGCACGTCCTGCAGGCGCGAGCGGCTGCCGACGAGGCTGCGCACCGAGAAGTCGAGCCGGTAGTCGTCGAGGAAGCTGAAGGTCATCATGGTCGGCGTCGACTGCGACGGGTTCGACGGGATGAAGGATATGCTCAGCGTCCCGCTGAACCGCACCACGCTGACGGCCAGCGCCACGGGGAGCACCGCCGTCAGCCGCCGCGGGTAGTTGAGCAGCATCTTGGTCTCGAGCGCCAGCGTGATCATGTCGCTCAGGTCGACGTCCATGCGCGCCTGCAGCCGCGACCCTTCCATCATGGCCCGCACGCTGTGCGCGTCGAACCGGAACTGCTTGCCCTGGCCGCCGCCATGACCACCTGCACCGCCGGTAGGGGCGTCGAGGCTCAGCCCGTCTTCGTCCACAGGTATAACACGGCAATTGCTGAAGATGGGAAAGTCCTCGCCCAGCGTCAGCTCGGTGACCTTGATCTCGTCGAGGAAGTCCGGGCGGCTGGTGCCGTTGAGCGCCTTGGTCAGGGAGGTCAGGATGGCGTCGTCGTGCTGGGCGTCGCTGCGGAACTGGGCGATGGTCTGGGCGACCAGCACGTTGAACCAGTCCAGCGACTCGGGCTGGTGGCTGTCGACGTTGTAGTAGGTCTTGTTGAGGATGGACCCGATGGTCAGCGGCGGGGGGTTGCGCAGGATGCTCGACTTCTTCTTATTCAGCGTCGGGTGTTGCTGCTGCTGTTGCTGCTGTTGCGGTGGCTGTCGTGCGTTCGGCGTCCGCAGCGTGAGAAGCGACTGTTTGTGGGCGAGGGTGCGGGACCGGCGTTCGGTGGCGCGGATCGAGGCGGTTACCTCGGGCGAGGGCGGGTCGCCAAATATGAAGAACTTTATGAAGGCGGCTATGAGGAGCACGACGGAGAGCTGGCCGACGATGAGCCCTTGGGTGAAAGACAAGCTGTGCAGACGGTCATGTCAGTCAATGCTTGCCACAGAGGGGTCAAGATGGTTGCAGGTGTTCCCACGTCGGTTCAAGCTTCGTCGGGCACGTGTCGGAAGCCATGTTGTAGATCGGCTTCGAGCATTGGAAGTCTCGGGCAGTAATTGTAGCATTTATCGGCTTCGTTCGTCCATGATAGTGTCTGCGAAAAGCAATTACAGTCGGCGGGATGCAATAATGACCTTTCAATTTTGGAGCTCTCGACGGGAGTCTGGTCCCCGTCGAATCCTTATCTTATCAGTGTCAAGTACTGCATACTTCCGAAGCCATTGTCGTACAACCAGCTTCCATGTACCGTGGACTTGGGCTTGGAGCGGGCTTAGCGTCCCAGCCCCTGCCCGGACTCCTGGAGTGACGATGCGCCTCGGAGCCGCACGTCAATCTGCAGCCTCCCACCAGCTGTCCATTTCAGACACATCATTGATGAGCCACTCGTTACCGACCATTGACCATTGAAGCTGCACGTACGACCTCACTGCGAAGCACTCAAAACCCTCATTTACAGCTCTACCTACCGGAGCTTAGCATGTGTTGACATCACCCGAGACCTCTTCCTCGTCGGCCCTTCTAGTGGCCTGTAAGCGTTCAAGATGGATGTTGTTCAGGCCGTCTCCGGCTACATCTCCAAGATGATGTCGGCCGGAGACAGCACCTCAGGGGCACCCTCTGCGAAGATGAAGATCCTTCTCTTAGACAAGGAGACCGTACCCATTGTGTCTACCGCCACCACGCAATCGTCTCTGCTCAATCATGAGGTCTATCTCACCGACAGACTGGACAACCAGAATCGTGAGAAAATGAGACATCTGCGCTGTCTATGTTTCGTCCGGCCGTCTCCAGATTCGATACAGTTTCTCATAGATGAGCTTCGGGATCCCAAGTACGGCGAATATTACCTCTATTTCAGCAACGTGGTCAAGAAGTCGGCGTTGGAACGGCTAGCCGAGGCCGATGATCACGAGGTCGTTAAGTTGGTGCAGGAGCACTTCGCCGACTTCATCGTCATCAACCCAGATCTGTTCTCCCTCAACCTCACTTTACCCCAGCAGAAGATATGGAGCACCGCGCCGGAGATGTGGAACTCGGACTCGTTGCAGCGGACGACCGAGGGCTTGATGGCGGTTCTGTTGTCGCTCAAGAAGAAGCCGCTCATCCGCTACGAGAAGAACAGCCTGCTTTCCAAGAAGCTGGCTACCGAGTTAAGATACCACATGACACAAGAAGAGCAACTATTTGATTTCCGGAAAGTCGATACACCACCAATACTCTTAATCCTGGATCGAAGGGAAGATCCAGCCACACCACTGCTCAACCAGTGGACATATCAAGCAATGGTCCATCATCTGCTCGGCATCCACAACGGACGGGTAGATCTTGGCGACGTACAAGACATCCGGCCTGAGCTCAAGGAGATTGTCTTGTCACCTGATCAAGATCCCTTCTTCAAGAAGAACATGTATCTGAATTTCGGCGATCTCGGTGGAAATATCAAGGATTACGTGGAGCAATATCAGTCCAAGACGAAGAACAATGCCAACATCGAGTCGATAACAGACATGAAACGGTTCATCGAGGAATACCCTGAGTTCCGAAAGCTCTCCGGAAACGTTAGCAAACACGTCACCCTGGTCTCAGAGCTCAGCGGACGAGTAGGGGCGGAGAATCTGTTGGAAGTCAGTGAGGTCGAGCAAAGTCTTGCATGTAATGACAACCACGCTGCCGATCTGAAGGTGGGTCGTTCGACAACTTTCCAGTTCTAGTAATGGGATTGCTAACTTTAACCAGAATGTCCAAAGGTTGGTCCAGTCTCCGGCAGTGACAGCCGAGAATAAGGTTGGCTTGGTGGCGCTGTACGCTTTACGCTACGAGAAGCACCCATCGAATGCATTGACTATGCTCGTTGACCTATTAACGGCCGCAGGTGGTGTCCCGGCACGACAAGCCGACCTGGTGGCCAAGCTATTAATCTATCATAACTCCTTGCAGCAATCTCAAGCCGCCGGTGGTATCACAGATATCTTTGAGGGAAGCGGTATTTTCTCCGGCGCCAGAGCCATCAAAGGTCTCAAGGGCGTCGAAAACGTCTACACCCAGCACTCGCCACATCTGGAGACAACACTACAGAACCTCATTAAAGGGCGGCTACGCGAGCAGCAGTACCCCTTCGTCGAAGGCGGCGGGACTACGCGGGACAAGCCCCAGGATATCGTGGTGTTCATGATTGGCGGTACGACGTACGAGGAGTCGAAAATGGTCGCGGGCATCAACGCGTCGTCGCCCGGGGTCAGAGTGGTCTTGGGAGGCACTGCTATTCATAACGCGGCGACATTCCTGGAGGAGGTCGCTGATGCCGTGTCTTCTTGGCCGGAACCGCCGCCTACGACGGCAGCCGGCCGTTTGCGGAAGGAGGTCGGTAGGAGATAGTTGAATGAACGGCCGTCTCTTGGTACTCGCACTATTTGGTCCGCAACTTGGCAATGTAATACTACTCTGGCGACGAGCTTCCTTGCGCTACTATACTTGCACATTGCTTGGGAAGTCACAGTGGGCTTTCTGTAGTGAAAACCCTGCCGCACTGGGTTGCGTAGCTAGTAGAAGTATGCTTTTTCTTCCATTCAATTACTGCAGTAGACTCCCTTTCGATGTTCATTCTCCTTGAAGAGCGTCAGCGTCATCTTATAGCCCTGGTATACAACGCCATGACTGCCCCCAGAAGCATTCACAGACGTAGAACTCAAGCAACAATGCAGGTTCGTACGAGACCGGCGAGCTTCTCCATGACGAGCAGACCATTCAATGAAGTTGCTTCAATTGTCATAGTAGGCCGGACGCTGTGTGCTTTCTTTGCCTGCCATCTTGCGGTAATGGCCCACGATCGCGCCTAGTTACCTCGGATACGACTATTACCACTGAGCTGGCGAGAACCAAGGGCACACTCATATCTGTGTACCTAAGTCATGAGACCTAATCATTCAATAGGGACGTAGTCAGCAGACGTCTTTTCCCTGCTCTCGATGGCCAGACGGAACGTCCTGTGATTCTTGGGTAAAACTCTTCTCGTGTTGTATGTCACCTGTGTCGGATTAGTTTGAGTGCACCTCTTGGTTTGCGCTTTCGGTATATCTTGCTTCATGATCTCGTCTAGTCCCAGTGTAACCACTGACACCCTTACTTCAGCACGCTGCATCTGCACCAGTCTGTGGGGATATATGTCCTGATTATTCCTCGAGAGTTAAACACACACAGTATCAGCCCGTTACTGTTTCCGAAGCCAATGTTTTCAAAGACAGTGAGTACCAAGTCACGTCACCCATCACTTGCTTCGGCGCCGCGAATGCTCTTGTCAGCAACCTGGTTGCACCTAAGTCCGCTGTACATGGCGAGTCTCTGCCGTGGCTCCTCTTCCGTCGGCCCGTCTGGACTACTTCCGCCCGTGGAATTATAGGTGTCGAGGAGGCCTTCCACGGCGTACTCGGGAAGTTGCGCTTCGAGGAGAAGCTCTTCGGTGTGTTGTAGCTGGAACAGCCCTAGGTAGACTGTGTCGCGGTATGTTATCCCTGACTTGAGCAGCCACAAGGCTTGGATGTAGCGGCTCGACGGCGGGGAGTCCATCCTCGCCATGACGCGACGCGACGGGATGGGTGGTTCTAAGGGGCAGCTCTTTCGTCGACTCTAGAAGCTCGAGGTGATTTACCACCTCGCCAGGCGGCGCTTGCCACTCTTCCAACAATGAATGCTTCTTCCCGCAGAAAGTATGCAGCAAGCATGTTAACGAATGAAAGAACTGCCATTTCTATTCTCAAAACCCATCATAGTCCTCCTCGCGCCTCCCTATCACGACATAGGGCTACCCGCAGATCAATGACACATCGTGATCGCCGTTCCCAAGGTCAACCTTCGTCTCACTCCGAGCCCTACTCGTCATCGCTAGGTCGGTAGTCTGGCCACTTCTCGTCCGTATCCTCCTCCACCCAGTAAGACGTCCACCACTTCCACGGAATCCCTATCTTCTCGCAGTGGAAGTCAAAATAGTCGACAATTCCATTTGAAGTCCATGCTTTGAACGCAGCCTTGAAGGTCCCCATGTCCGAGAATTCGATATAGCCAAGTTGCGCATCGTGCGGTAGATGAGGTCTAGCATCAAGCATTTCCTCCTTGACAAAGTGTGGTACTTCGACCGGGTGTTCGGCGCTTCCCTTGGAGCTGGGGCTGAAAAAGTTCTTCTGGATATATTCGAACAACCCGCAGAGGCCCACTACTTTGGCATCGAGTAATGAGGCGTTAAGGTTATGAAGATGTGCCAAGTATAGCTAGCTTACTTTGTACACGCATTATAACACCGGGGAAAGTTCGCCATAGGGCTATACAGTTAGCAAGGATGGTAATGGTTAGCGGTTCTAGGTTATGGGGCTGATGAATCCAACATGATGCCTGTAACTCCCATGCTAAAGACATGCCTAATAGAAACCTTATGACGAAAAAGTTCTATAAGAAAATTCCTATCGTGTAAAGTTCTACCTATTACCATTACATACGTGGACCCGCTAACCATTACCATCCTAGACACTAATAGGTGCCCAAGTTGGGAAACTGTGGCGCGCCCCATACCCCGAGTTATTTATAGGTACAAAAGATATTGATATAGCTGTGCTTATATTTATATATCAAATAACTGGGGTGGTGGAGGACGCTACTATTTGCCATCCTGGATACCTGTAGTAAGCTCGGTGTCTGGAAAGATCACAGGGCTCCACGGCCCGGTGACCTAAGGTGGCGAGGCGTCTTGGTCTTCGGTCTAATTCTTCAATGTTACTCCGTCTGACAAAGTTCTCCTTCTATCAAAATTACTCTTTCCATAGGGTGCCATCGCCTTCTTGGATCCGGGGTCGCCACGGATATCTGTTCGGGGTGAAGCCGACGTCATGATTACGACCTTGGAAGCCGCTTCTTAGTCGTTCATAATCAAGTAGAGACTGTTATAAGCCCTTTGAGACCGTCATGGTTGCTCAAGCGCCATCTTATTACGAGATAGGGCTACTAGAGGATGCTCGGACCATGTGCACCCTCTTCGCTGACCAAATAGTAATTTCATACCAAACAGTCCTTCATAAGCACCACCGAGCGGGCCTCCATATTCAATGACCAACGAGATAGGTCTATCCGCAGACCAACACGCCCTGAATCACCGCTCCCAAGGTCAACCCTCTGCTATGTCCGACTCGGACATGTGCTTATCCTCGACATAGTAAGATGTCCAGTCCTTCCATGGGATACCGATATCCTCGTGGCGGGCGTCGTACCGGTCGGCGGTTCCAGAGCCAGCCAGCCCGTAAAATGTGATCTGGAAGGACTTCATATCCGAGAACTCGACGCACCCGAGCGAATGTCGCAAGGAGTTGGTTATGGACGGGAAGAGAATTTTCTCGGCTTCCAGCACATTCAAGATCTCGGCTGGTATGACTCTCGGATGGTCTGCGCTTCCTACCGCCTTGTGCGCCCTTTGGGCCCCTCCGCTGACAGGGACTTCACATTCGTGAGTGGTTATATCGTATTCTTTGAAGATCTTGAACTTCCAGCCGTGGGCGCAGGATACCAGGGCGATGAGAAGTGCGGGCTTGAGAAGCATGATGTCTGCGTGATCCCGGGAGAGCTCGGTTGGAAATTCTGGTGTGGCTACTGGAGATTTTATTGAGAGCGAGTTGTCGTGCCGAGTGATTGGTGCTTCTTGACTTGGTATATTTCTTATGTCAAAGTACTTGTGATGTATGACAACGGAAGGAAAAATGTCAGGTTGCAGATGGTGTTGGCGTTTGCTTTCAAGCAGACGGCTTATTATATACTATACCATAATACGTGTAAGTCGCTCCGGCCCCAAACTACTCGTCTGCCTGCGCCTGGGTGCAGGTCATGGGGCCCTGATGATTACGGTAATAGGCAGCAGTGTTTGAACACCGAATTGTTCGGCTTGACCGAATCTGTTCCTCTGGCTGACTCCAGGTAACTCGCAGAGACTCACTACTCATTCCACCATCGAGTACGGCGACGGCGACGGGCTAGCCTACCTTGTAGACGTATCATAATGCCGGGCGAGCTTGTCTTGTCATATGTATATCCAAACTCGGTGCCTGGAGGAATCACAGGGCTTCACGGCCCGGTGGCCTTGGCGTCTTGATCTTTTGGTCCCAACAATCGTCAAAGTTGCTCCTTCTGCAGGCTGCTGTCGCCTCCCTGGACACAGTGGCTGCGACTAATGTCTCTTCGGGGTAAAGCCGAGGTCAGTGTGGCGGCTAACCGACATCATGTGTCGAGATGGAAAGGGAGCGTGAGCCTACCTGCGGGTAACAGGTGTTCCGACGATCAAGTCACGATTTACAGTGGTCAATGTAAGGTAATTGGTACTTGAATGTTCTTATTGACACTTCTCAGTTATGTAGAACCTGAGCCCGTCCCAATGCTCCTCCAACCTCCAATTCTGCCCGTCCTCCGTCCCATCTAGCCAGACGACAGCGGTGAGGCGAACATGGAACAATCTTATCCCATAGCCTGAACGACAAACCCACGGTTCCAGCTGGGAGCCTCAGTGGTCTCCGAGAAGTGTCGAAGGTTCAGCCAAGTAGGTTGTAACCTTACGTCTCTCCCTTGACCGTGTCTGAAAGTCAATCTTACGCCTCGAAGTCCCCTGCGCTCGCTCCAAGGGGTATCTTGCTGACAAAATCGCAAAATTGAAATCAAGAAAGCTGCTTCCAATCTTCTAGTTCTTTCACTCGATTAGGAAGCCCGGCTTCCTGTTGCCGTTCGTGATTGTACATGCTGCGTAGTTTGTTGATGCCTTGCGGCTGATTATGGCGAAAGGCGGTGGTGGTTTTTTATGCAGAGGTCGTTGTACAGTATGTCCTGTGTCCCAGACGCGGGGCGGATGTTGCGCTGCGTGATTCAGTGATGCCGAGGCTGATCATGATGCTGACGTCGCATCGCCTGATTTGAGGTCGCGTCGCCTAGGTTGAGGCGGTGCCGACGCTGTGTGACTGCGATGGTCTCGATGAAAGCTTCCACCTCAGCGGCGCTGGGCAGATGGATGGGCCCGTGCGCTGCGTCGAACGAGGACCAAGTTTCTCTCTTTCCCCTGGCGTTTACTCATTCTCCCTCCGGGTTCTCAATCCGGAACGCGGAACCTTGCCGTGCCGACCTCGTTAATCGGATTCAATTTGTAATGGGCATGAGGAGAGGGAAGACTCTCCCCTCCTCATCCCGAGAGTGATACTGATGAGCCGGAGAAATATATAGTGGGCATGAGGAGAGGGAAGACTCTCCTCTCCTCATCCCGAATTTCTTTTTCTGGTGGGGTTTCGGCGTGAAGGCAGACTATATATAGTGTAGTGTGTCCGATGTGGACATCATGTCGATAGCATGAGTCCTCGACCGATGACCATGTTCTTTGGTGGAATGATAACAGGCACGGGATCGTCGTCTTCAGTTTCGTCGTCACTCTGTGTCGATGTGTGACCTTCGTCTCTAGAGACGGTGCACGCGGAGTTGAAGTGTGTTTTCTTAAGCTTCGGGAATTCTTCCTCAATGAGGTCGTCGATGAAGTCGATGTCCTCTTCCCAGAGTTGAGATTCGTTAGCTTGGACAGGGACGTCGACATCGTCCCAGTCGGAGTCGGAGGCCGAGGCCGAGTCCTCTTCAGATTCGTCTTCGTCGTCTGAGAGGGCCACGACGTTGGCGTGTTTGTGGTTGCCGGAAACTATGAAGGTCTTCCAGGCGTCTTGCATCCAGTCGAGTAGAGCGTGCGAGCAGTCTTTGGATGTTCCGAGTGCAGATGAGTTTTTGCAGCTGAATGGGCCTCGTTGCTCTTCCAAGTCGAGATCGTACCGGAATTCATGGTAGCCGAACGAGTTGGTCCAGGTGAGAGTCTGGGGACTGGCCAGGAAGCACAGGCCCAGCGCGCGGACATGCTCGGCTGCTTCGTATAGGTGAAGCCAGTTGACGAGGCAGTCGTTGCATGGTTTGTTGGTGTGGCGTGCCTGTGATTGGACTTGCTTGATGGGCGCACTGCTGTAGTAGTCGGCGTTGCAGCTGCAAATCTGTGAGTGGTTGCATATTCTGCGCTCGCACGGCGCGGCGGCGATCTTGAGAGCTCGGTTCTTGTAGACGACATACACTCCATCGTCAGGGAGAACATGTGTATCAAGCGTCGAGCGAGGGCCGGAGATGGTGTCCTGATGGAGTCGACCGTTGGCGCTGTAGGTAGCAGCCACTATGATGGCGGGTTGCAAAGGGATTGCCTTGCAGATTGCTGAGCCGTAATGGAACATCTTGGTGGGGGACGATTATGAGGTTGCAGACAAGGTTGCAGAAGACCTTGCGGGTGCAGAAGATCTTGCGGTTGGAAGATATTGCGATTGCAGAAGATATTGTGGTTGCAGAAGGCAGAAGCTGCTGCGATTGTAGAAAGCAGAAGCAAGATGTTGCGGTTGCAGAAGATGTTGTAGTTGCAGCATATTCTGCGGTTGCAGATGAGGCAGACGATGTTGCAGACGATTTGCGGTTACAGAAGATCTTGCGATTGTAGAATATTTTGTGGGTGCAGGAACGGTGTGTGCCTGAGGCAGTCGGATCAAGTGTGCGAGATTCCCGAAATCGTAACAAGTGGTAGGATTTTGTGCAAGGAGAGGAGAGGAGAAGAGGGGTGAGGAGGGGCGAGGAGATGAGATGAGAGGAGAGGCGAGGAACAAGCTGAGAGAGCAAGTTTCGCGGGTGCAGAAACGATGTGCAGGTTGCGAGATCGAGTATGTGCGAAATCCTTGAACTCGTGACAAGTAGTTGATGCTGTGCGAGGAGAGCAGAGGCAGAATCGATTGCAGGCGGCGAGATCGAGTACGTGTGAGATTCTCGAAATCGTGACAGGTGGTTGGATGTTGTGCAAGAAGAGGAGAGGAGAGGAACAAGCTGAGAGAGCAAGTTTTCAGGGCATGAGTGCACTCCAAGAAAAAACCAAATCAGCATCAGGTCGGAGATCAGGATCAGGTTGTGGCTGTCAGTCTTTGCTGGAGTTGAAGTGTATAGGTACCCGAATGGAGGGGGGAGTATGCGCAGGAAAGGCAGTTTCCAGAAGCATTTCCAGCGCCGCCGTGAACTTACCTTTTCAGATAAGACAGTGGACCCATTGTCCATTGGGTGCAACTGTATAAGCTCCAGCCCGATGAGTCAAGAGCAGACTGGAAAGTCTATGCTGTTTGGGACACAAGGACGCCAACAAACCAAACCCATAACTCCGATGATGAGAAGGATCCACGTCGGCGATGAAAGTGCTATGTGCCTATCCTAGGACGATAAGTCCGATGGTACGAGGGACCAACCCGACGATGATAGTTTGTATGCCATCTTAGGGTTCCTTGACCAAGTGGGTATGACTGGAGCAGAGTCATCTCTGCTTTGTGTACGACCGTCTCGCAAGACGTCGTGGACTGTACTTGACTCCGAGCCGTTTCAGCGTGGTTGAGTCCTAAATGCCAGAAGCGCCTTGACCATTCACCCGCAGGACAGTATCGCACGCGTTGAGCACTCGATAGAGCTGGGCCATCCCAATGCCCTCAAGCTACCGTAACTACGTTCACTAGGATATATACATTAGCTGCTATGTACTCTGAAAAGGCAGCCCGCTGCATGCGAGTCGCGGTCACGATACTTTGGCAAGCTAGAGGGGTCATGGGCAAAAGCAGGGGGGAAGTATCAAAAAGGCTGGGTGGCACTGTCGACTCGTGTAGCTTTTAACGTACATTGACAATTGGGATTGACCGGGTCCGCATGTAGCATTCAAGTCCCACCCGAACATCAGAGGATCTGAACTGGCCAAAGGGTCAGCTGTTGTCGAGCAACCCTGAGGATGTACCACTCCTAGGGAACGGTAAGCCCCCACAGCTTGCTGGCTGCATAGCAACATCGAAGGTTTCAGCATTCCCATTTCTGCTTCCCTCAAACCCAAAGACCTTGAGTGGCCGGTGGTTTGGTACAAAGCGTCCACCCTCAGGGGATAGGACTCACACCCACCACAGGCCATTGAAGCTTGGTCTACAAGCTGCAATGAGAATCGTGTGAAGTGATCCCGCAACAGACCCGTGATACTGTGATTGCAACCCCAACTCATCAATCACGTATTCCACACGGAAAGCTGCCATAAGCAGCAGTAAATGTCATCGTAAAAGGTTTGTTGTATTCCCTAGCACGATGAAATACATGCTAGCTCGTCGAACCGTCCGCGGACCATAGAGCAAAACCCTGCCCTTGCATGCAAAGTGCCGAAAACGAGAAACCGTACCCCAGTATCGCCGCATCCACAACCACAACCACCTTAGATTTCGGTGGTGACCTTCGCCTTAGGGTTCGTGACCTTGACGCCCAGTTGCTTCGCGCGGGCAATGATGTCGATTCTCTTTCTCGATGAGACGTTGTGGGCGATCCTGCAATGCTATTAGTTTCCCGCTGCACTTCTCTTGCGTATGGCGCCTTGACGTACTCTGCGGCGTAAGTCTTGTTGTGCATCATCAACAGCTCAACGTCGTTGGCGTTGTTGACGAGGAAGGCCTTGTGGCCGGAAGGCATCATGTGTCGGGTCTTCTTGTTGGAACCAAATCCGATCTGCACCATCATATCACGTTAGTCGCCCATCCTCAGCGATTGACGTTCCACCTGCAACGGTGCAGTCACGGCCTCCTAACTGCCCGGTAGAAGGTACGTACCGAGGGCATGGCAGTGCTGCCTCTGACTATCGAGATGTTAGAACACGCCGGTTGTGTGCGCGCGGAACTGCGCTGGGTAGTGTTCACTTACATCGTCTTCGGACTCGGTTGTCGATACCCTTGGGCTTTCTCCAGCTGCGGGAAAGGCATTTGAACCGATCGGCCTGGTGGCGGTTGAACGTCTTGGTTCCTGTACAAATCCACCGTCAACATTTCCGCCTCAATTGACAAGAATCTCTTCCACCGTCTCCTCCAGCATCCCATCGTCGGCCATAACGCTCCCACGGACGACGCGACCTTCCACGGTGCTCGGTGCGGATTGAGGACAGGGCGGGTCAAACGTACGCTTCTTGACGATCGGGACGTGCTTCTTTGCGGCAACCATCTTGAAGCAATCGTTAGTCGGAGATTTCGAGTCGGTCGCGCGGTCGGCAGCAGCAGCACAGGTGTTTACCTTGACTGATTTCCGGGGGTTGTCGTGCTGGTGTTAGTCGGGGTTGTCGTTGGTGTACCTACTCGCTCCCGCAAAATTCACTGGAGGTTGAGGGGACCGAAAAAGTTGCAGGCCAATTTCGCGCTGAGGGCTTTGGTTAGGGTTGGTGGTTGCTGATGTGCGTCACGTGCTGAGTCTCTTCAAATTGGCGAGTGCTGGGCTCGAAAGTGGGGTGATGGGGTCAACGTGGCATCTGTGGCTGGGAAGGCTTGTATTCTGAGCCACAGTGGTCAGCCACAATTGGTCCATAAATCTGTCCCCCTATTGCACTGCTATTACCTTACCCCTAGGCCGGGGAGCACGAGGAGAACTCACTCGTAATCAGATACCACTACCCTAAGGTACTATTGAAGGTACGTTCCACAGGGTATATGGACTGACGCCTCTCGTTCACTTCTTAATAACCGTGGTGTCAATAGGGCGAGACCACAAGGAGTGAACCTCCAAGCGGATAACTTGCGTCGCGAGAAGTGATTGATTTATGCGACGCATGGCCTCTTGACATGATGAGGCCACTCTATCAGGTCTAACCTAACTCCTAGCATACGCACCTAGGAGACAGGGAGGAAAATGGGAGGATTCCTTCTTCCGTAGAGATATCCTGATCGACATCTCTCAAGGATCATGTTTCGTGCTGGCCGGCGTTGCTCCACCCAGCTGTCTCCATCGACCGAACCTCTCAATGCTACGTAGGAAAACGATGATCTTCCAAGACGCTTGCTCGCCACAACTTCTAGACTTGCGTGGGCGCCGTAATCCCTCCGACTGACTACGGATTCATATCTCATAATTCATTACTGCTGCGCGCATTGTGGCTGTCCGGCAGCTTCGTCATCGTCGTCTTCCCAGCCTTCTCCGCCGAATCGCGGATCGTCCGAGTTGGCTCCCATCTGCAAGATAGTTAGCACCCTCGATCAGAGATGCACAAGGGAGAATGGAACATACCTCGTCAATATCAGCATCGTCGTTGTAGTCAACCTCGTCAACTTCCTCAGCCTTGATTACAGGCGCGGGGTTAGGGAGGAGCTTCTGGAGAGACTCGAATGCGGCGTCATCTTGGAGCCAGCCGTCCTCCGGGAAGGCAATCTTCACCATGAGGTAGAGATCACCCTTGGCCTCTCCCCGCTTGAGCGGCATACCCTCACCCTCGACCTTAAGGACCTGACCCGGCCGCAAGATCTTACCCCGCGGGTGAGTGATGTGAACACCTCGGCCGTCCAGATGCTGCAGGACGACACGCGAGAATCCACACAGCGATTCGGCCAGGGTGATTTCCATGTTCGCCGAGAGGTCGTTACCGATGCGGTTGAAGACATCGTGCGGCTCCTCAACAAGAACGAAAACGAGGTCACCAGGGGTCTGATCGGGCTGTTGATCAGCTTCACCTTCCAGCACGATCCGCTCGCCCTGGTAGGCACCACGAGGTATGTAGATCTCCAGGGGCTTCCTCTCCTGTACGGTTCGCTTGCCCTTGCACTTCTTGCAGCGGTCCTTCTCTTTGATATTGTTGCCGGAACCGTGGCATCTGTCGCACATGGCAGACTCGCGAGTAACCAGACCGGGGCCGACCTGGCGGAAGGCTTCCACAACACCGGCACCCTTGCAACGATCGCATTGCTGGGGCTTGACCTTCTCCTTGGCGCCAGAACCTTTGCAAGTACCGCAGAGGGTTTGCTTGTCGGCGGCGAACTTGACCGTCTTTCCTTTGTATAGGTCCTCCAGGGTCACGCTGTATCTTGACTCCTCGTCGGCACCGCGTCTAGGTCTTCGGGGACCTCCGCCGCCGCCGCCCATGCCGCCCATACCTCCACCCATGCCGAACATTTGTGAGAGGATGTCGTTGATATCAACCTCCTCGCCCATGCCGCCACCTCTGCTCGGGTCGAAGGCAGCCATGCCATGCTTGTCGTACATCTCGCGCTTCTCGTCGTCTCGTAGGATCTCGTAGGCTTGGGTTACGGACTTGAAGGTGGCTTCGGCCTCGGGTCGCAGTTCCTCGGCAACCTTGTCGGGGTGATGTTGCAGGGCAAGCTAGCAATCGTCAGCACCTCGCACAGTAGCACGCAGCATGAGGAGATCACTCACCTTGCGGTATGCCTTTTTGATCTCGTTTGCGCTAGCAGACTTGTCGACACCGAGAAGCTCTGTAGAACCGGGTCAGCAACCGAAGGATCCGCGCCATGGACCAGGAAGAAACATGAATACTTACCGTAGAGCTCTACGTCCTCGCCGCCGCCGCCACCCGGTCCATGTGCTGCCATGATCGGAGATTTGGGCTGGTCTGCGTGGAAAGGCTGAAAGGCTGCCTGTTGTTTCCTGCAGAAGATTACAGTGGAGTTGCAAGTGTCAGCGAAAATGTTTGGCGGGGTTATCCTGTATCAGGTTATCAGGCTATCTGCTATCGGACCCAGGGCCCAGTTGCCAGGCTGCATTCACTGCTTCAACTTTTAAGGCTTCGCTACAGATGTGGTGCAGATAAGCTTAAGACATGAGCAGGAGTGGCCGTGTCGCCTTTGCTGGCACCAGAACAAACAAGAAAATTCTGGAAACTACGTCGCCTCAATGATGTAGCTACCACAGAAACCTGGAAGACTTCGACTTTTCTTGGACTTTTAAATCGAATCCATACCCCTCACATCTGTTTACATACCTACCGGCTTCACTGCCTACCAGACATGAGGGTATGTCAACATCATCCAAAGGCCTGGCAGCCTGGGTAGAAGTACCTGAGAACTTGTCTGACAACGTGGGTAGATTATCTCTGGTATTGGATAGGGCTGTCGGATCATGTCTCACTCAACATGCGGCAGCCCTGGAGCATTTCGTGAGACCTTGATTTCATTATTATTAATCACCCGTCGTGATGTCCGAAGACCGTTTTCTAAGGTTGTCAATGGTCATGAAATGAAATGACAACCTTCCATGCATGTGACGGGGCATTCTCTGGTATGACACACATATCGTGCATACTACTCTTTATATGCATAAAAGGCCAATATTTATCTAATCGATAGATACATACGGGTCATGTATGCATCGTACGGTTTTGTATCTCGTCGACATCGCGAGAGCACCAAAAAGCACCAGTCCAAAGCGCAATTGTTGAGTCTTCGCGTTATGATATGATGCATGTCCAATAAGAGGGTATGAGAAGTCTCTACATCCTACATGGCCCTCTGCGCCGAGGCGTTCTAGCTCGGCCATGCCACATTATCAGACGCTCCAAGTTCTCCGGCCGGCCAGCACTTGTCGATACCCCTAAAACGACACTGCTTCCGACAACAGCCGCCAGGACACGCTTTGCACCTTCGCCCACTGGATACTTACATATAGGTTCATTGCGTACAGCGTTGTATAATTATCTGCTCGCGAAGGCTACTGGTGGCCAATTCTTACTGAGAATAGAGGACACGGACCGGGTGAGTGTCAACGGAGTGAATTATCGCAAGACCTCGGTGCTGATTTCCATGCAGACCAGGATAGTGTCAGATGCAGAAAGCAGATTATATGAGGATCTGAAATGGACTGGCCTCAGCTGGGACGAAGGTATGAAGACATGGCATCGACCATGGCTCGTACAAATTCTAATCCACTGCAGGTCCCGACGTTGGGGGTCAATATGGCCCATATAGACAGGTGTGACCGCCTTCAAGCCAATGAACCCCATACATAGGTCATGCTGACACAGGCCACTAGTCCGAGAGGTTGGAACTATACACCAAACACGCAAACCAGCTTATGGACGAAGGGCGGGCGTACCGATGTTTCTGCACGCCAGAAGATCTTGATGAGATGAAGGCCCTCAACATGCAAGACGGCAGCGCTCCCCTGTACAACGGGACCTGCTCGCACATCCCACCAGACCAGTCCCGTCGGCGAGCTGAGAGCGGAGAACCGCATTGCGTCCGATTCAAGTGCGAAGACCATGCCCCCTTCGTGAACGACTTGGTGTACGGCGTATACAAGAAGCCCGGCAAGGAGGACGATTTCATCATCATCAAGCGGGACGGTTACCCTACGTATCACTTCGCGAATGTGGTTGATGACCATCTGATGGAGATCACGCATGTTGTACGGGGGGCGGTAAGTCACCCAAACGGTTGGTTTTTTATTCTTCATGGCAGTCACTTACAACTTTGAAAGGAATGGCTCGTATCCACCCCAAGGCACGTGGCGATGTACGAAGGTTTTGGATGGAAGTCCCCCGAATTTGCGCACGTCGGGCTTCTGGTCGACAAGAAGAAGCAGAAGCTAAGCAAGCGCCACGGAGATATCGACATTGCATCTTGGAGGGACCAAGGGATCCTACCCGCCGCTCTGCTGAACTACGTGATGCTGCTGGGCTGGAGCCACGGCAGAGGCGAAAAGGGGCATTCCGAGGTCATGGACCTAGACGAGATGATCAACAAGGTGAGTGTCGTAGGGAGGCTGTACCACCACAGGCAGTTCCACTAACAAACCCAAACAGTTCCATCTCAAGTTCACAAAGGGCGACATCACGGTCAACGCGAAGGACGAGTTCCTGCAGAAAGCCCACATACGCAGGTACATGAAGACCGCCGGCCGGTCCGACGCCCTCGAGCAGCTGATACCCGGCCTCGAGTCCTGGGTCCGCAAGTTCGAAGACAACCGCACGGCCAACGCCAACAGCAACGGCGACGGCGGACTCGTGCTCACCGAGCTGGGCACGGCAATCGGACCCCTCGTGCCGCTCGCGCGGCCCAGCCATGACAACCCAGCCGGGGCCGACACCGTCGCCTCGCGCAGCTACCTCAAGGACCTGCTCGACTTCGACATCAAGGGGTACGCGACGCCGCGCGACTACCTAATGCGCAACGTGCACCTGCTCTGGCAGATCCCCGAGAAAGTCTACGAGGCGAGCCTGTCGGCGGACCTAGACCAGCAGCGCGGCTTCTTCGTCCGCGAGGACCCGGACGCGCCGCTGGGCTCGACATCAGACCCCCCACGCACCGTCCACGAGCTGACGGCGACGCTGCGGGAGCTCGTGCGGGGCATTGCGGAGGCGGACTGGACGAAGCAGAGCATCGATGACGCGATCTCGCCCTTCGTCAGGTCGGTGTACTCGAACCCTACCACCATGCCGGGCGTCCAGGTCTGGGGCTACCACCTCCTCCGGTGGGTCATCGCGGCCATGAGGCCCGGCCCGGCCATCATCCCCAGCATGGCGTTGTTGGGCAGGGACGAGACGCTGAGGCGTATGGACATGGCCTGTGAAGTTGCTGAACGTATACACGGAAAGCCAATGCTGGCTTGCCACTGACTTCGTGATTGATCTCAGATAAGATCATGTTGTTCGACACGTATAAAAAACCTTGTGTGTAGCATTTGTGTAGATCATGAGTCCTGTATTACTACCATATCTTAATTGAAGCCTCGCCCACTCCCAGAACGCCGTCCAATGCTTCGTGTCACATGAAGGTGAGCTGCCATGCTAATTGAGCAGTCTATGCAAATCCGAATGGGCCCAACCGTCTTTTCGTCCATTATTCTATGTCGTGCTTGTCGTCATTGCAGTCGTTGCCGTCGCCGGCGTAGAACCAAGGCCATTGAAGATCTTCGCCTTGACCTCGCCCGCCATCAGGCCCTGCTTCTCCTTCATGGTGACCGAGTGGCTGGTCCTGGACACCTTGTCCATCTCGGAGTCGATGGTCTTGCTGGCCGTCTGCATCATGCCCATGGCGCCGCGGGTGTTGCGCTGGACGCAGGCGGTGGCCTCGCGGATCTTGGACCCCAGGTCCAGCATCTGCTTGTTGCCGTAATCGCGGTTCGTCAGCAGCGGGCTCTGCGACAGCGTCTGCACCCAGTACTTGTTCCACAGCGACGCCAGCAGGCTCGAGTCCAGCGTCGACTTGAAGTGTGATACCTCCAGCGAGTAGTACTTGCTCGCGTGCGCGCCGAAGTCCTGCGCCTTGGCCAGGGGGACAGACTGGCCTGATGCTCCGCCGCTGCCTCCCTCGCCACTGCTGCTGCTAGCCTTCGGTGCCTCGTAGCCTTCTGGGAATGTCCTGAACGCGCCAATCTCGACCAGCCCGGCGCTGATGGTGCGGTCGGGGTCGATGACGACGGCGACGAAGGGGTCGTTGAACTTCTGCTGCAGCTGTTCCGTGCCGACGTCTATGCCGCTCAGCCAGCAGCCGTAGCCCGGGTGGCTGTGGTACCATCCGACAGCGTTCTCCTCGCGGCTGCCCTGGTCGCGCGACAGCTGCAGGTGCTGGATCATGTACTCGTTGGCGTCGTCCTGGGCGTTGACGCGGGTTTCGGTACCCTCGACGGGCAGGCCGAAGGCGTCGGTCACGACGATGGTGTCGCCGTCCGTGTAGCCCTGCATCAGGCCCATGACCTCGATCGAGCCGCCGGTCCGCGCGTGCATCACCATCTTGATCAGGGCGACGGCGCTGATGCGCACATGCTTGAAGTGGTTCGGGTCGCTCTTCCACGGCCGGGCTTCGTTCTCCTCCTTCTGGCGCTCTGGCGAGTAGTTGTAGAGTGCATCGCGGGTTGGGTCGACAAGCTTGACGTCGTTGTCGACCTCTATGGGTAACATGTTGTTAGCGCATGTCCTCGTCGACGCGGAACGATGGTGCAATGACGACAAGGCGAGGGAAACAAGTCTCACCCCATGATTTCATTGCTACCTCCATCTTGACTACTCTATTGCTGAAGTCATGGAACTTCATGAGAGAAGGCAAACAGTTGTGGTAGTTGAAGGCACAGAGGTGCGTCTGCAGTGTGGGGTGAAGGTTGGAGACCTGCCTGCAAGCACCTAATAATAGCATATCTATGAGTGTGAACTTAATATCTGCTAGATAAGCAAATGTATCAGGTATATGCAGGAAACAAGGTAAATGATATCCTGAGGTATCGTCTTATCGATAACAAGTCAAATCTCGGGCCCTTTCTCAGGGATCCGAAGCGAGTCGTCCATCTTTACGCTGGTCGTCTGGAAGGAGAGCAGCAATTGCGACAGCATGTCCAGACCAAACATGATACGGCCAATACGGCACGCCCTTTTGAGGCAGCTCGTAGGTGGATTTACGACCAATTGCTCTCTGTTTCATGTGACTAACGAGCTTAAAGGCGCAACAGCCCCGGAATGCTCTGGCCGGATTTCTGAGCACGCGCTCCCAATCAACGACAGTGTACGTCGCAAAGCTGGGCGCATGCCAATTGATATCATGCAGTGCTGATGTCTTGACAGAGCCGATAATGTCAAACCTGGACCACCGCAGCTAGTGTATGTATATGGGCGAGCAGCAACTGGATGATGCTCATACAATCCCAGAAACGAACTCCCCGATCCCCGTGAAGAGAACGAGACCCGACTTCCGCGTGCCGTCCAAGCCCTCTACCTCCAGCCGCTCCGGCGCGAAGCCGAGTACGGCGTGCCGTCGTGCGATCTACAACTGCGGTCATTCAGCATTCCGAATCTCGAGTTCTTCTGCGATTTTGCGATACGGGCGGCCTACTACCTCGGCCTGCCCGCATTCGGACCCGTGCCCTTGCCGAAGATAACGGAGAGATGGACGGTCCCGAGATCTCATTTCATCTTCAAGAAGTCGCAGGAGAACTTTGAACGAATCACACGGAGGAGGTTGATCCAGATCAGGGACGGACACCCCGAGACGGTTCAGATCTGGCTTGCGTTCTTGCAGAAGCACGCTCACTATGGCATCGGTATGAAGGCAAACATATGGGAGTACGGCAAGCTCGGTAAGTGGGACTCTGGAGTGTGTGTTGGAATTATGTGACTAACAAGCTTGTGTACAGAGATTGGCAAGCAGATGGATGGGGAGTTGAAGTCGATGCAAGAAGTCATCGAGCAGAAGATGGAGCACCTCGGAAGAGACAAGACCTTGGGCACAGTGGAGAAGGTGAAGGAGCTGCTGGCGAGCGAGAGATTCAGACACACCAGATAGAGGACGGTTGCTACCACCATGTACAAAGATATCGAGAAGCTCGTTGTATTATACAGGAAGTGTACATCAATTCTGTTACATTTCACCGTCCATAATTACTCGCGTTAATGACTAGAGTACATGCCACTGTCCTGACACGACTTGATGGAAGTCCAAGGCCTGTACAAGACTGTATGCTGGTCAACATGTGGTGATTACAATTCACAGCTAAGGTATCGACGTGGACAGGGGAAGTAGGTAGCTCGGACATTCCAGGTGGCCCAAGCTTTACCTCATTCCAAAATCTTCAAAGTGAAATCCAAACTTGAGATGACTTCAGTTGCAAGCCATTGTATAACACACGTGATAATCTGTATTTGTGAGTCTTCTGTCTATCTCGCAATCGCAAGTGCTAATGATGTCAACCAGGTCCTATCTGAAAGTTCTAAGCCGCAATTAGTCCAACGAACTCAGGGCAGCCCTTGAAGTTCTTGTTCCTGCATAGAGTAGATGCCCCCTACCGCCTGCATCCGTTGCAGGCCCCTAGTCGGTGCGACTCGCCAGGTCCTGCGCGCATCAGGGAAACAGAAACGCGGCTACTCCATTTGCCCCAGCTTCCAGAATGCCGTCGTCTTCTCGGGCATCCAGCCCACCGGTGTCCCACACCTGGGCAACTATCTAGGCGCCATGCGCCAGTGGAAGCGGCTGCAGGACGACGCCCACGAGGACGACAAGCTGCTCTACTCGATAGTCGACCTGCACGCCATCACGATGCCGCAGGATGCTGAGATCCTGAGGCGGCGCAGGAGAGAGATGCTGGCTGCCCTGATCGCAATTGGCCTTGACCCTGAGAGATCGATCCTCTTCTATCAGTCTTCGGTACGTCGAGCCAGCCCCTTAGACACTTGACCAGTTAGATTGACCCAGATATCACTTGACAGGTATCGCAACACGCCGAGTTGATGTGGATTCTGAGCTGCACGGCTTCGATGGGCTATCTGAGCAGAATGACGCAGTGGAAGGTCAGTCAGCCCTGGCGATGTCTGTTGCCCATTACATTGCTAACGCTCCTTGTAGAGTAAGCTTCAGATGAGCAACAAGGGTGAGGATCTCGACGATGCTGCCGCTGCGAGACTCAAGCTCGGGCTGTTCTCGTACCCGGTACTGCAAGCAGCGGATATACTCGTCCACGGCGCCACACACGTGCCCGTCGGCCATGACCAGAAACAGCACTTGGAGTTCGCACGGGAGTGTGCGACCAACTTCAACCATAAATTCGCCAATGTACTCGTCCCTCCAGAGACCGTACTCAGTACGTACTGGAATTCCGACCCCACGGTCGACATCAGTCCACACATAGTGGGCGGTTCTAACACAAATATCTAGCCAATTCGCCGCGCGTCATGTCTCTCATGAACCCGAACAACAAGATGTCCAAATCAGCACCGAACGAGAAGTCCCGCATCCTCATCATGGCGGAGCCGCAGGAGATCCACCAGCGCATCATGGGCGCCGTGACCGACTTCGAGAACGTCGTGACCTACGAGCCGCGAAGACGTCCCGGCGTTGCCAACCTGCTGGAGCTGCTTGCGCAGTGCAGCCCGAACTACGTGGCGCCCGCCGTGCTGGCCGAGAAGATGGCAGGGGCCAGCCTCGGCGAGCTGAAGCAGCAGGTCTCCCGGGCGGTGACTGCTGAGCTGGGCGGTATCCGTGATCGCTACCACGACTTGCTGTCGCGGCACGGGGGCAAGTACCTCGACGAGATCGAAGAGGCCGGGGCCGAGAAGGCGAGGAAGAGCGCGGAGGAAACTATGAGGGCTGTACGATATGCCGTGGGATTGTCGTCCCGTTAGACATACATGTACGATGGTGTAATATATGGTACTTAAAAGGCCTGTAAGTGTGACTATGACTACCTGCAAGTCTTGCGGTTAGTTGATCGGGTCTACACTCAGGTCAAACACGTTTAATAGGGTCGGATGGTAGGTAGACTGAGCTTTTTGCAGTACTGGGTACTTAACGCAGTCTTCCTTGCCTCCTCTAATGATATATGCAACCGGCCCATTCCAGCAGCATTTCCTCAGCACGACGACTTTTCCATGCCACCACCTAAGATTAAAAAAGTTGCACCTACCCCCCTTTCCGCCGTTCTGTAACACGACGAAAAGGCCGTCAACGTATAGCAGAAAGGCATTCAGGCGGAGGAAACGAGTTGTCTCAAGAGAAATGCCCATACCACCATTTCTTTCTGCCGCTTCTTTTCATCCCCTCCCTATCATCACTGTCACAACAGCAGCAGCAGCAGCAGCCTCGCCGACCTCGGCTCCTCGTTCATTCGAAGAACAATATCCCGGGCTGTGCCTGCAACCAAGGCACCTATCTCTGATCCCTACAGCATACCAGATATCAGGGAAATAGTCACAAAGCACAAAAAAACAGTAGAAAAATCATTCGAGGCTCACCAACTGGTTGATGTGGCGGATCAAGAAGAGCAAGAGACCGCCAAGCATTCCCTGCTGAGGGGTTCTATCTAATGTACAAACGGGATCGTCATCGTCTATCATCTATATACGACATCCACAGAGAGCAGCACCTAGGACCTGGAAACCCATAAACCTAGAACCGTGAGATGTCCCTTCCAAATATCCACGACATGGCCCAGTACACGGGCACCATGATCTTGTTCCGTAGACTCATGCTCTTGGTGAGGTACGCCGTGCGCCACAGTACCCAAGCCGCCCAGCCCGTCAGCTCGTCGGCGCTGCTCTGGTGGATGGCTGTCCAGTTGCCCAGGTACGTCATCGTGCCCCAGTTCTTGAACTTGAATGGGGTTTGGTCGACGTCTCCCTTGTTGAGCCGCTTCGCCAGGTGCGTCGCCTGCTGACTCGCCACCTGTGCGGTGGCTGGTAAGCCCTGCCCCTTTATGACGGTGCAGTCGCCAATGCCGTATACGTCCGGCAACAGACTGCCCTTGACCATCTCGTTTGCGTTTTCTTGCGAGCCCGCTGGTACCATGGTGACGCGTAGATGCGAGTCGGTGACGATGCTTTTGGTCTTGGGATCTTTCTGTATTTGCATCTCTTCTGCCGAGAAAGCATCGCCCGAGGGCGATAGGCGCTGAATGACTTTCGATTCCATCTTCTTGACCAGAGGGTTCTGCATCAGTCCCGTACTCCAGACCACGATACCAGCTCCGACCTCTTCTTCGCCATACTCCTGGATCTTCAATTTTAGGCAGCCTTCGCAGTCCTCGTCAGGCCGGATCCGTGTCAGATGATGCTCTGTCTTGACGGCAATGCCCTCTCGCCCGAACGTGTCCATAGCGTATTTCGCCAGTTTCTGGTCGAACATGGGCAGTACTTTCGGCGCGACGTCGTAGACGGTGATGTTGACGAGCTTAATCAGATCCGGGTATGTTTTCGCAAGGTCCTCGTGTACCAGATCATGTAGCTCGGCGGCAAACTCGATTCCTGTAGGCCCACCACCCACGATGGCGAAATGAAGCAACTTGCGCTTCTCCTCGTTAGTGGTGATCGGTAGAGTTGCCTTCTCGAAGCTCTGTAGCACTTTCATGCGGATCTTTCGGGCGTCACCAATGTCCCTCAGGAAGTTGGCGTGCTCCTTGACGCCTTCGATGCCGAAAGTCTGGCTGTATGCCCCTACTGCGACGACGAGCTTGTCATACTGGACGTCAAACATAGGACCTTTCTCGGCGGGATCTTGCGAGCGTTTCATTAATAGCCTCGTTCTTGAGGCTAGGTCATCGGACGTGTTGGCTTCAACGTGGATGGTCTTGCGACTGAAGTCAATATCATCGGCCCATCCCTGGTGGAAGTTGACCAGACCCAGTCTCCGTACGGACTCAAGTACGGCGCGGAACTCCAGCGTCCCAACCGATGTGCCAGCAAGCAGTGGGGTGAAGACGAAGTAGGAGCGCGGAGATATTATGATCCTCTCAAACTTGTTTGGATCCAGCGTCCTTGCAAAAGCATAGCCAGCCCATCCGGAACCCAGGATTACGACTCGTTCCTTTTTGTCTGAGCAAACAATTAGAACGAGTTCCTGTGAAGTTTCTTCCTCGACAGTGTTGGAATACCCACTCAACGCGTTTCCCTCGGTTGTGACAGTGCTGGCCATGCGCAGGCCTCCCACAGTCTGTCGTCCATAGTTATATGCTGCGCGAGTCAACACCACGCCCGCTGGCCTCACCATGGCCAGACGCCCAACGGCCTGAACACCACTTTGCAATGGAGTGGTCGCCATGAATAGTCAATTGACAGTGCAGTCCCAGGAGCTCTCGGGTCTAGCTTGTCATGTTTTATGCAAGCTGAAGGTTGAATTCCGTGTTCCAAGCGGGCCTCGTCCTAAACCCGTGTTGTAAACGTGACGTCAAGTTGACGAGAAAGCTCCGAGATGCCGCAGCAACTGCCCCGGTGGGCACCTGGCCCTTAACAGCACTGGGGTTTCAGCGACCATCAGCGCCTGAAGCCGCCCTATCCTCCCTAAGCCGCCCTAAGTTGGAACCCACAACGCTTCCTTCCCATCCAGCCAGCCGGCGCCCAATACTCCCCCTTCCCCCTTCCCCCTATGGCAACTGCCAAGCACGGCAAGTGCCATCATTGGTTCGTGCATTTATTACTAATAAGGGCTCCAACCTCGTAAGGTACAAGCTTTCGCCGCCGCCCTCGAAGACAAACCTCACCCAGACTCATCAGAACCCTCATATTCTCGAATCAGCCGTTGTCGGTTCCGTAAAACATAGTGCGATACCGCCCATCGAAAGAAGAGCGGTGACGCTGGGAGAAGACTTGACAGAGCAACAATTGTCACAGACTCGCTGAAGTCTACACCGCCGACGCGAAGGATGCCTGCCTGTTATTTGGCTTATAAGCAAGTGCTCTAATTCACGCGATTGAGGCCTGACCATGGGCTATCACGAGCAGCATTGTGAGTGCTCACAACACTATTCGGGACTTTGCTCGTACTCATGGGCTTGGCAGGCCAGATCTGCGGCATATCCTTCAACATCGGCCGCATCAGAAGGCAGGGTAAACATTGCTCATCAGCCGTAGCAAATTGTACCACCTGCTAAATTCGCACAGGCGAACCCGAAAGCGCAGCTTGGCAGTACTATCACGATGACTTCATCACACTGGGGGACGTCGAAGACGACCCCCTAGACGAAGGGTGCTCGAATGTTCCTCGAGTTCCCGGAACGACCGACATGGACTTGATCGAGCACATTGCAGGTCCTAACTGCACATGCACGCTTGGCTACTCAGGGTGGCGCATTACAGCCGAGGAGATGCAAGAACGCCTGCAATGCCAATGCCTAGCACCCAAGCAAGAAGGCTGGCAGCCCGAGCCCGGCGATGAGGAGTTCGAGATTGAAGCCCAGCATTGTTGGCTCACGGGAATCAGCAAGCAAGGGACGATCGAATTCGAGGTCGAGGGTTTGGAGCCTGTTAGACACGGTCTTGGGAGTACTGAGATCGACAATAGCAGTCGGGAAGGTGTACGAACTTCATCACGTCCTTATCTCCAGCAGTTGACGCGAGCTGACTTGCGTAGACATCACTTGATGGAGATTACGCACTGCCAATACATCCGCATTGCTTTGTCATGTATACGCGTATGAGTAAAGAGAAGCTGGGCAAGGTCGACATAGACGGGCTTTGGAGGTTGCGAGAGGTAAGAGCTACCGGTTCGTTAGCCGTTGTTCACTTCGCATATGAAGCTGACTTGCTTCAGACTGCAGGTAACTACCAAACCCGCTTCATGGACTTTCCGCGACGCTGCGACGTCGATGAAGTAAGCGAGCAGTGGCATAACTGTGTTCCCGGCACAGAGTATCTTGCCTCGGATCCGCTTCACGTCTCAGGCTTGGAGGACATGCTCACATCCTGCGAAGATGAAATAAGCACTGCAACGGATGTCGTCTTCGAAGCGAGGGTCTCTGCCAGCGATGGCAGTGATCCCTTTGTGCAGCTATCGCCAGAGTTGCGTCACATGCTGTTCCCCTATCTAGATCGCTCCGACGTGGCGAACATGCGCCTGGCCTCGCGGGGCTTCGGTCAGTTACCCCAAACATACTTCCATCAGCTCATCTCATTCGACATGCCATGGTTGTGGGAGGTCGAATTTATGAAGGACAAGATAATGGACTGGCACGCCCTTTGGCGGAAGCTGTCCGCTGCAGATGGCGGCTCGGACGTTGACGATAAGGAACGCAAACGGTGGCATGACACCCTAGCTGAAAAATACGCTGGTCTCCAAGAAGAGGTCAACCGGGAAAGCCTTGCTTACGCTTCCGTCGAGTGGTTCAAGCGCTGGGATACGATTCATGATGAGGCTCTTGCGGAGACGGAAGCTATCGACGAAGTTGGGATGTGGCCTGCTCGAAAGACAGGCGAGTTGCGAGGACTGAGGAACAGACGGCGCATATGGGGGGATCTGGAGGAGATCATGAGGCGAATCGCCAGACTTCCGCCAGATGAGGAGGCGTGATGTTGGTCTCTCGGCAGCGTCTAGCAAGGACCTCGGAGAGATGGCTGGGCGACACGCGGGACTGCTTCGATGATCTTGCCGTCACTCCAGCTACGCTTGGCCATTTCTGTCAAAGGAGACAGTGGATGTGAAGGCAAGCACAGCAGCGGCAAGCGTGGGAATGTTATCAAGAGCACCCACCGGCAGCAGATCTCAAGAGCATACAGATTGGACAGCGCTGCCGAGAGGAACCAAGGTACACTCGACCACCAGCTGTTTCAACTTGAGCCTTGCTCAACCTAAACATCATGCCTACCGAGGTGGATACCCTTACCCAAGAACTTGGCGTTGCTGTACGCAAAGTCTAACAGAATAAAACGCCCTCACGCCACAAATCATCTTAATCCACGAAAACCTTGACCATGGCGTCTGCAGGCTCAGGCAGATGCGTTACACGCCGAGCGGCGTGCAAGCAACGACTTGCCCATAAATCCAGAGTTTCCTCGAGTGGCGTATAGTATAGCATGTTGTCGACGACACCGGCAACTGCGAATGATTTCTAGCTTTCTTCCTCGGCGTCTGTTGCTGCTCAAGGTTGCAGCCACCAGGCGCAAAAATGGGTCCCTAGCCCGCCTCCTGAGCACATAACCTGCAAACGCTACATCTACACGCGCAAATATTGTGGGCTGAGTCTTATTAAAGACACACAGCTCCCGGCTCCCTGCTCCCTGCTCCTTTCTCCCTTGACCACACATGAAAAGCAAGCCAAAACTGTCGACCATCCTTCCCCTCAGCGTACCACAGCAGTATAAAGTCTTGATCCGAGATTACTCGGCAGCATTACTGCCGTAGATACGCGCCATCGACCCCCGATTCCGGAAAGCACCTAGGTGCTCACACGCATACCCAGGTCCATCCTGGCTCGCTAAGGGCATTACCAAGTGCACCAATAACACCGCCGACAACATCATCTTCGAGCACACCGCAGAGGCACCACCCGCAACATGCCGGTCTCTGCAGCGCTCCCGAGGGGCATGACCCTGGCGATCACGTTCCGTTCGTGGATGGCCTGGAACTCTTCCGATACCATGTTGTCGAGGAAGAAGAACGCCTGGACGACGGCGACTTCTCTACGCATGTCGAGCAGTGTATCGCAGACTACGCGGTACTCACCAGAACTTCGGCTTTTCCCGCGTTCTCGGCGCTCTGGGTTAGCGTCCGCTTTCTCTGTACGCTTTCGAGAAGATCTGTACGTATCTGGGCCAGGTGTATTTTCTTTTCGTCATCGTGATCGGCTAATGAATGAGGACTGTTCAGATGGCAATGGTTCCTCCGAATACGACAAGATGTTCAGCAGGCTCGATCGGGACCGCAAGATTGTCGGGGAAGATGTTATGTGGGCTAGGGAAATTCTCGCCAGAACTATTGAGGAACACCAGGGTGGACAGGACGTTCTCTTCGACAAGCTCGGTTGGGACACACTTTTCGTCCTGCCACCCTGCCTGCATCTGTCACATGGCCACGTGTGGTGACTGCAGAAATGACTTCGTCGTTGTACGTGAAGAACAAAGGAAACTATAAAGGTAGCTAGGAGACGTTGATCACGTGGTGCTGTCTAGTGTGACACAATGCGTATATAGCCACTGTGTCCTCATTAGATCAATATCACCAGCTCTGACCATCACGATAAACAATATCCGCGGCCTACGTCTCAGGTTCGTTCAGAACTGGAACCTCATAACAATTAGTGAAAATTTGAGTTGCTTTCTCGTCATCACTTCAGCCAGCAGGTATAACGCTGAGAACCGCGCCCAGGAACGCGTTGAGAAACGATTAATATAAGTTCCGCCCAAATAGAGTCACCGTAATGGAGATGCCGTACGGACTTAGTGGCATTCAAACAAGAAGTTGAACTCTCGATTCAGGTGGCAACCTGAGGAGTGAGACACATAGCTACATAGGATGCGTTGCTCGGAAGACAGGCACCTGAGATCTTCAACCACGTGGCACAATACTACACACCTACTTTTGTACGACGAGGGGTTGACCGCTCCGTCGCACCTTACCCAGACATACCCTACAACTCTGCACATGCCATGCCGAACAGTCCTACAAGTAGGCAAGAGTCCGAGTCCAGAATGGAGAAAGACACAGCCGAATGAGACTTTTGAGCGGCAGTCTGGTGCCATCTCCAAGTGTCTTGAAAAGGTCATGTTATCTCGTCAGATTTCAGAATGTGGGAAATGTTGGTTGATGCTGGACAGTTGTCGAGCGAGCTGGGAAAGACTGGTTCGTAAGTTCACGCCATCCGAGTCTGACGCAGACGGCCTCATCAAATCGATTCTAACCCTAGCAGCAAAGCGAGTCAGTACCAAGCAAGGGCATATCCTCTTGGTATAACTTTCGCTAAACGCGGAATAGACCTTTCCACTATTTGTTCTCTGGAGAATGTAAAAACATCCAGTCATTTTTGATGGATTTCTGGGGCGAATCAATATGTCAAAACTTGAACCTTCGGTCAGGGTATTGCGAGTGTTTCCAGACGTTAGTGTGATGACCGATGTTGAGGTCGACTGGGACAAGGGGCTCGAGATGTAGACACCAGTGCGAGGGACGCTAAAAAGTCAAGTTACACAAAACTCATCAAATTGGTATCAATCATGACATTCAAACAATCAACTAAGCAACAGAAACTAGCTACACTACAAACACCAATCAAGTATTGACCTCCGCGAACCAAGTCCTCAGCAGTCCCGCCAGTGCGCCAGGGAGCTCCTCGAGATTATGGACGATCAGGTAGTACTGGAAGGGGAACGTGTCGAGATAGTACTCGGTCTTGATCTCGTCGTTGCCCAGGAAGCGCACCTTCTTGAGCGTCAGCACGCTCTGGTCCTTCTTGTTCGTCGAGTCGTCCATGATGATGAACACGATCATGATGCGCTCTTCCAGCGCCTCGCGCAGCAGGACTCGGATCTCCTCGTGCGCCGAGGAGGGTGTGAGACCATCGGACAGGATGAGGGCCAGCTGCCAGAGGTCTTCGGAGCCGCGGCTTGTGCTCTGAAGCCGGGCGAGACGGAAACGCTCGATTGTTTGCCGAATGAGGAGCTGGATGTCGGTGTAGTCTTGCTGAAACGAGAACTTCTGCAGCACCTTCGCGCCGGCGTCATGGGAGGCAAATGGTTCCGTGAACTCATGAGCCATGAAGGTATTTGCGCCGAAGCCGAGAACACCAATCTGTCCAACTTCGAGCATGGTGAGTGCTCGCGACACCATGACAAGTGACTCGAGTGCGAGCTCGCCGGAGCTGGATTCGCCCATACTCTTGCTGTCGTCGACACACAGTAAGATCTGGTACGACCGCTTGGTTGGGATTGCCCTGCGCATCCAGATCTTGTCCCGCTTGTAGCTGGACGCGATGTATGGGATAATCCGCTTGATGTTGAGACGTTTGCCAGTTCGGTAAGAGCCCGAGAGTTTCGTAGATTGCGATGGGGTCAAGATCAGACGTAACTGGGAGGTGAGGGCTAGCGCGAGCGGGTGCGTCTTGCTTTGGAAGTTTGTCCACTGTTGCATGGTTTCGTCAAAGTCCCTCAGCTTCAGGTCAGGCTCTGACAAGTAGGTTGACGATAACTGTGTAGAGGTTTCCTGGATCGTTTCCTCCACATCCTCCGGCACTGGCGCCCCGTTGGTTGGCGGCGTCTTTTCACGGTTGTATGCACCTTGGTGAGTTGACACCCCCGTGTGGCGCTCTTCCTTGGGCTCGTCTGGTTTGACTTGTTGATCAAGAGGCTCTGACATGTCCATCTTGTCCGTGTCATTGCCATCTTGGTCTGACGCCTCATCCTCAGGTATTATTCGACTGTCGGCTGGTTGGTCTTCATCTTCGTCGATGGCCATGGCATCATCAATTGGCTGTGTCTGCTCTTCGGTAGCCGTGCCCATAGCTTGCGTGTCAGCAGCGGTTTCGTCATTCTCAAGATGCTGGAATTCTCGAATTGTGGATTCTTGCTCCGCGTTTGGCTTCTGCTCTCCGGGTTCGCTTTCTTGGGCCTCCTTGATTTCGCGTTGTTGTCTATGCCATTTCTCTAGAGCGTCACCTAGGGCTTTGAAAGGCTGGTTGGCCGACGATTCCATGGCGTCGTCGGGATTGGTCTGCGAAGATTCCTCTTGGGATTTGGAAACACTGCCTGTCTGACCAGTCGACTTGTCTTGATCGGCTGCATTCTCGCCCATCTTTCCGTCCTCCTGCTGAGCGGCGCTATTCTGGGCGTTATCTTGGTCCTCCCCTTCGTCGGCGTCCTGGTCTTGTCCACTGCTTTGAGCCTCACTCGGCGCCACGTTGTCCTTGCTGGGGTTGGAGTCATCAATGGAAGGCATCTCAGTCTTCTCTCGCTCTTCCGGAGACTCCTCTTGCTCTCCTTCGGCCTGTTCATCTGGCTGGACAGTTGCATTGTCTTCTTCCTCGTCGCCTTGCTCAATCTCGTCTTCATCTTTGTCGCCTTCTGCGGGCGCCTTTTCTATTTCGCCTTCTTCACCATCTTCGCTCCCCATGTCGCTTGTTCCCTTCTCGTACTTTTCTTGCTGGTCGACATCTGAGAGCTTATCCAATTCATCATCGCTGATTGACGACAACGAGTCATCGTCGTTCCCGTCGATTTCCATGTCGTCCGGCAGAGCTAGTGTGTCCTGCTCCTGGACATTCTGGTCTTGCTGATTGGGCTCCTCTTGTTGTTGGACATCTTCGTTCTGCTCCGCTCCGAAATTCTCATCTACGTCTTCGTCTCCTTCCTCGCCGTCATCTTCTGGCTCAGAATACTGGGCATCGGGTTGTTGGTCAGAAGCTATCGCCTCATCTTTCTTCTTCTGACCTTTGGACTTCTCTCCCTTTTGGTCTTTCTCGGCTTCTTCGTCATGCTTGTCGCCGTCCCACGTCTTCTCATCGACAGCGCTAGGGTCAAGGTCGTCCACATCGCCTGTCTCCTCATCCATATCGTCGTCGCTCCCCTCGTCTTCGCCGGACT